TCTGTGTGTGTTAATCTCCTAAATTAATGGGAGGGAACCACAAAATAATTATAACATTTCCAAATATAACATATTACATATTTAGGTTCCCACAATTGTAACTTCTTTAAGGAAAAAAGCTAAATTAGAAGAAACAAAAAAATTCAGCATAAATGCCCAGAACGCTGTGCTTCGTCTGATTTCATTTGTCAGTGGTACTGAAAACAGAGTCACCTTCTACATCAAAAGTTGCTGGTTTGCTCATGCCTCGATGTGGTTTCCCCATCAGACGAAAACGCATGTACTTTAAGTTTATGACTTGCTGATAACTGGTTTTGATCACCACCTTCCGTCTACATACACGAGTCAACAAATGCATCTGTTCCTAGAAAGAAAGGAAAAAAATAAAACGGATTTCTACGGTATGCAGCGGAGGTGACTGCTAGTTTAAAGGTTTCTGAAAGTTTACGTTGAAGTTTATTAGGGGAAAAAAAAATACTTAAAAGCAGACTTTTACTACTCCTCTTCTCCCCTTATCTTTTCTTTTTTGCCATCCCATGTTTTTCCTGGCCTGCAGATTTGCAGGGAGTCAGATCTGTCATAAATTAAACATAACCAGGCAATCGGCCCAGTGTTCTTCTGTCGCACTTCAACCTAAAGCACTAATCAGCGAACAGAAACAACTCGGATCATTTTTCACGCCGGTCCTCCCTGTCATCCCCTGTAAATCTCTTCGCTGCTATACCCTCCTTTATTGCAGCAAGTTTTATTTATTCTTTTTCCCTTCTCTTTGCTCCTTTTTTTTTTTTTTCTTCTCCGCCTCCAATAAAGTTGCTCGTCTTTATCAGGGCTTCCTGCCTTGGCCCTTGGCCTCCAGCTAGGGCTCCCCGGAGGTCCCGGCGCACAGTTTTCCACTTACAGAGCAGACATAAAACAAAGGGGATTCTTGTGGCATCACTGATGATCTCATCGCCATTTGCGGCTCCGCAGCAGAACCTCGCTTTGTTCAGATTTCACTTTGTAATTGTTAGCTTGCGAATCTCTTTTGTCTCATTCTAGTTCGGATGCATCTTTATCTTGTTTAATTGTTTCTGTAAAAAAAATCGCCTATTTCCAAGCCAGAAGTGAGATCAGTCATTACAATTTTTTTTTGACAGCCTCTGTGTTAATTATACTCCAGTGAAGTGTTGATGATGGAGTCGGCTTCTCTCAAACCTGCAGGATTTTGCTTGGGGGTCTGGGGGGTGGATTGTGTTTGGCTCAAGCAGCATGAGGAAATGACAGGCTGTCTGTGGTTTCGTGGAGCAAGCTATTTTACTGCACTGTTTTACTGCAGCGCTTAAAACCTTTGCCTTTTTCAAAGCCTTTCTCAGCGATCCAGTGTTGTTGGGACTTTTTTCTTTTCTTTTTCTTTCTCTCCTTTATGTTGGCAGGGGTTTTGTCAGGCTTGAGCGCGCAGAGGAGAGGCAGTAAAGTCGAGAAAATTTAAGGAAATTAAATCCTAATAGGTTTTGGAAGGGCTGCGGATCAGGGCAGCTGGACTCTCTAATAACGCCACCGAGCAACAGGAAGGCTTGAAATGACTTCAACTGGAAAGCGACCTGGACAGACTTGATGTGTGTTAAAGTGAGAGGACAGGAGGACCGAGCGCTCTGGTGTCTAGGTTTCTGCCGGACTGTAAAGAAATAAAATAAAAAAATCTTTTTTGGCACCTGCGGTACAGACGTGTTAAAAATTAAATTAGTCTTTAGTGCAGCTTCTCAATGTCAAACTGAAAAATGTCATAATATGCGAGCTTCAATTTGGTTGCATTTTATTCACAATGACGAATATTTAGTTTTACTTTCAGTCCACAGTCATCTCATTTTCTCATTTTTATGATGCGGTGGAAGGACAGAAAGGGCTTTCTCCTTCCAAGCAACTGCTTTGCATCCTGGTTTAAAGGATAAAATGGAAACCTGGGGGACTTTTTCTTTCTTTCTTTTTTTTTTTTTTTGATACCATCGCCATCCTCCTCACTCTCTGTGGTGCCAAGGTAAAAGGATCCTTGTCCAGCTTACTGGCCAAAGGAAATGGGCCACTGTGGCATTATGCAAGATTTCTACGCAATCTGGAGAAATATGGAAAAGAAAATGGGGATCTAGAAAAATATGTGCTTTTCCAGACTTAATTTCCTATTCTAGTGTCAAAAAGTTTTTTGTTCTGTGCCATTTCATTGCATCCTTTTTCATGTTCAGCCTTATGACGCTGATATTGATACTTGTATCAGTCCCGATGTCGAAAACAGTTCTAGATCAGGTGTCTGTAACCATTTGCTTGATCTATTATATATTTTACATTATGTTTTGAAGTCCTAATTGTGCTTTGTGGACCATTTGAAAGAGGGTCTGTTACAGTTTATTTTTGTTTGTTTGACCAAGGAAGTCAGTCTATTGTTCTTGTTATTTTCAGTTTCTTTATTTTTTCATTGGTTTCTATATGATTGCACTGACTGACCAAATTAAAGTTGTTGTTTTTACATGCCTGTTGTTTTAAGCCAACTTAACACTGTTTTTCTGTATCGGCCAATACCAAGCCGCAGATATCTGTCTCTGTATTGGAAATGAATTGATATGTTGCATTTAATTTCTTTGTGTCATTTATATTTTAAAAAAATGTTTGACAACTCTGCACTTTTTACATTACAAACATGAAGGAAACCTGTTAAACTTAAACAAACTGGAATTTAAGCCTTTCTAGGATCTGAGAAATTTAAGTCAATTTAAGACTAAATCTTTCAGCTACCTTGATCCTACCGCATAAATGTGGACATCATAGCATTTGGATTTTTCAGTCTGAGATGATGCAGCTTCATTAAAATATAATTTTATTTTTAGGCTTTTACGTGTTTACCTGGGGTGCCAGTAGACGTGGTTTCCACTGTGCCGCCTGGGCGGGAGAGAAACGGCGGAGCCTTGAGGCTCGGAGAGAACAAACCAACTCGCCTCTAAGTATAGGAAATAAAAGGTTTATAAAATAAATATAAGGGTTCATTTAAAAATGGTAATAATATAGAAATGAGCTGAAATGACCTGCTGTTTGAATTTTGTCTCATTAAGCACACCTGTGTGATGCTTCATGTCATTGATTTTAAAAATCGTTGGGAAAAGACCCGCTCGGTTCTTCGACAGTTTCAGTTTTATAGCCTTTTTTCCCCTGCTTTTTTTCCTACATCTCCGTTCTTAACCGTTGAGTGTCGACTTAAAGCTTGACCTCACTCGTGCATGCATGTCTGCTTTTAACATCTGCATTTGATATTCGGCCTCTGAGACTTAGCCCTGAATGAACACAGGTTTTCGTTGCAAACAAAACCGCTGATACAGTCCAGCTCCAGGGGAGCTCGGCGAGGTTTACTGGACGCTGCTGCTTCCAGACAGTCGCCATGCGTCACTGAGGGGCTGCAGCCCGATTCATCTGTTCAGGCCGCGTCCCAACTAAGCCGAGTTGGAGAAACGTTTAGCAGGAGGGCTTAGACAAAATCCTCCCCCCCCAATGTTATGTCACTGTCCATGGCCCCTGGGACATCCTGTGGAGGGCCCAGGTCGGACCTGGGTTCCCTTTGGACTGTATGTGTGGTCTCTGCCTTCCACCTCTTCGCCGAGGACGGCAGCCGAAAGCCGAGCGGACTTCCAGCCTGGTTCTGAAACAGAAACAAATGAATGTTTGCAAGTTGGTGCAATTTTCTCTGTTAATCTTCCAACGTCACGACGGTTCTTGCTTTTAATCAAGGTTACAGAAACACACTGTCCACAGCTGCTGCTGCTTTGTAGAGCAGGTCATTTATAAACTTTTTAATAAAAAAGAACAACAAATACACATCTTAGCAACAGAGTCATTAAAGCTGTCATAAGTTATGATAGCTCAAACATTCTCCAGTCTCAGCTCAGATGTTGTTTGCAGACATTTTTGTGTGTTGAGTAGACATGGGCCACTGTAATGTAATACCATTTTCACTAAGATAAAACATGATCTATTTATTTTGATTTAAAGCAAATAAACTAAAAATATATTCTTACTGCTTCCACTGTAGTGTACGCAAGGGGATAATAAGATTTTATTATTTTTTTAAAGGTTTTTGTTTATTGTGATATGTAAACTTAAAAAGAAACATTCACTACATTTATTAGCATTTCAAAGCATCAGACAGAATATTAGGTATTTGTGCTGTGCAGTTCTTTGTAGAAAATACGGAAAGTATAAAAAGTAGAGATGCATCAGTCTGAATTTTTGGGGTTGATTCTAGTTTTCTGACGAGACTTGGCCACAGTTGTGTATGCTAGCAACAGTTTAAAAAATATTGTTGCTCTTTTAGGGTTTTTTGGCACTCGTGGTCTTTACTCATCAGTAGCCAGCATTACTCAGCTCGTGAGTAATGCAGAGTAATGCATTACTATGGACTCATGCATTACTCCATATGGAGCTTCCTATGGAGCTTTTTCTGGCCTCTCATTAAAGGACTTTAAACTCCAGTTGTGTTTTTTAAAACTTGTACCTTTTCAAAAGCTTAGTGAGGCTTGAAAACTGTTGCCACTTAAACTTGAATTAGTTACTTCGAAGTCCCTGATCAGATTGTTTAGTTGTGTTGTAGATATTTTTAGCTCTCAAATAAACCCTTAGAATTTGTTTTGAATTGTGCCAAAATGTGTCCAGTTTGTGCTCTTCTACTTGTTCCTGTAAGCTTTACGATCCTGGAATAAGAGCAAAGAGATATTTGCTGTGTATTTAAAACAGACATGTTCCTGTATGACCTCACCTGTTTGTTTTTTGCTGTCCCTCATTTATCTCTTTAAGTCCTCAGTCTTCACTCATCTGTTCTTCCTCCTCCTCCACTTTCCTCCACTATCATGTCTTGGTCCTTCCCTCCTTTCAATCCCCCAAAGCAAATCTTCCCACTGCGCTGTGAAACGCATTAGCGGCATGTGTGCGTCCACAACGTTCCCTTTGTGTCAGAACGTAATCTGGATTTCATTTGTTGTTGACAGGAGCTTTCTAGCTGTGGCTGGAACAAGAAGGAGAAGCACAGCTCCGCTCCGAATGTCGTGGCCTTCACCCGCAGGTTCAATCAGGTGAGACTCAGACATCCTCGGTTCTCGCAGCCAATTTCATTCTGAAGTCTATCGCTCGCACCCTCCACTTCACCCCCCCCCAAAAAAAAAAAAAAAGAGAAGAAGGGGAAAGTCTTCCTCTCTGCGGTTGTGGAGATTTATGAGACTTGGCCATTGAGATTCGAGGGGATGACAGCTCGTCTTTCCATCATGCCCTCCGTCTCCGTCCTCCTGCTCTCAAATCATCACCCCAGTTCTCCCAGATGTGCTTGTTTTTGAAGCTGTGTTTATCATGGCGGCTCCTAAGGTTCCCTGTGTCTTCTCCTTACACGTGAAATGCTCTTATGTACGTCACAAGTGGTCCCCAGGTGAAGCGTGCCTGAAGGCAGACATCTTTTTATCCTCAGCTACTCGCTGTTATATAGTTTCTTGCAAACATATTGACACTTCTCTTGCATTTTGTCACATTAAAGTCACAATTTAATATGTTTTATTGAGATTTTATGTGATAGACCAACATGAAGTAATGAATTACTTTGCAGGGAAAGAGACTTGTACTTTTAATTTTTATTTTTGTTCACAAGTAAACTCTTTAAATTCAGTTCCCTTCACTCTGACACACCTAACATGAATCCTTCATAAATTGCATGTTTATTGAATCAATGCCTCCGAATGAAAGCTGCTCTTTTGAAGATGTCAGAGAACATTCAGGAACAAATGGCGTCAAGAAGACCAAGGAACACATCAGACGAACATATTTTAGTTTGGTTTGCTGTATTTGATTAGAAGAGTGCACATTAATCAAAATTAACACAATTCATGGCAGTGTAAATATGCAGGAATTGACACAATAGCTGCATTTCAGCCTTTGTCCTCCTTAAACACGTCAGTACAAAAACACAAAGCATCTCACTGCACAGGACAGAACACGGCACACGTAGTTCTATTAAAAAAAGTAGAAAGAAACCAACATTTACACATGCAAAATAATACAGAAAGTGTATAGAAACAGGTTACAAGACCCTCTGCTCTAAGCAGTGGAAGTAGTTAACATCCCAGCTTTGAAAAGCTCTGTTCTGCCCATCATGTGAAAATGGAAAGAGTCTAAAAGAGAATCTGTAGCAAAACCTGAATACTGATAAAATGCAATAATATGATGCGGGAGGTATCTAATATAATCTCACTGAGTTGGAAATGGCTTCTGAGCAAAATAGGTAAAGCTGGTGGGAAAAAAACAACAAAAAAGACTTTACTGCAGCTGCTATTGTAATAAAAAAAGTTTATTCTTCAACCATTGAGTTAAATATAACTTCACACAATTTAGATTGTCTCTCTATTTCACCCAAAGACACAAATGTCAGAGTCTGTCAGCATTGCGAAACGTTAGGGTGTAAATATTTGTGCAGAGTAAACAAATGACTGCGCACATGTTGAAGAATCTTTCTCTCCTTACCCGGTTACGTCAACGAGAAGCTGTGGGGAATGATTCAAGGGGCAGCCATCCCCTTTAATCCACTTCCTCTGTTATTGCCAGATTTTCTGAGCCCCACTTCACCAACCTCACATGTAAATATGATCCGAGAAGAATGTGTTTCTGTGGAAATTTCTTTATGTATGGCAGATCCCAAACGGTGATTCAAGATGTTTGCCGCACGCATTCGGCCACTGCGAGCCAAGGAAAATGAGCTTTTTGGACAGACGGTTTTGGCCTGTCGAGGCAGAGAGTCCCAGAAAGCCCATTCCACATTAACTGCGGCCATTTTTGTTTTTTTCCCCCCTCCATTCAAATCTTTTGTTGACTCTGTGCTTTTAGGAGCCAATAAAGGAGACAATTTGCCAGCAAGTTTAAATCACTACGATAAATGCTCTGTAACCCGCTCCTTAAAGCTTACCAAGAGTTCATATTTATGGTCAATTGTGAGCGTTAGGTTTTAACATCTCAGTTTAGATCTCCAATGCTCCCCAACAAGAGATTGGATGATTATTTGACTGGTATTGTTACAGTTTTTATATGCAAGACTTTCCATTTCCATTAAACCAGAAACCTGGTTGAGCTACAGCCGATACGTCTGCGTTTGCTTTGGCTGCTCCACCTTATTTAGGATTATTGAAACACTGGAAGCTCCTCATCTAGCGGACTTGATATGCTCATGAATCCAGCAGGAAAGACGTGAGATTTGTTTAACTGAGATGCCCAAACATGGCCAACGTGTCCAACTCCAGCGTTTTCCATGACAGATGGAGGTTAAAAAGTGAAACTGATCAAACGGGGCAACCAGCCAGTAATCCATTCAGCTTTCCCGGCATCGAGTAGTAAGAAATGATCAATAATTAAAATAAAAAAAAAAACACGAAAGGAGAGAAATGATTATCACCTGTTGAAGTCTGATTCTGGCTGGAACACCTCATTTTAAACACTATTGCTGCGATTGGCCATTTTTGAGACTCGTATTTTAAGCTTGTTTGAGTTTGATACTGTGTTCCTAAGCCAGCAGAAACGAGGGGATAGATACTCTCACCACTCATCTTTTTTCATGAAACACTGAGGGTTAAGGCCATTGCCAGGAAACTCAAAATCAGTATCAGCTCAGATTTAACTCCTTCAGATTAGCCAGCAGCAATTAGCAACCGCTTTGTGGGACTGGACGTCTGCTGAGCTCTATGCATGCAATTTCAAAGTGTTAAATTATGATATGTACATATATATAAAAAACAACAACAAAAAAACATAATACTGCCCCTGTACAGAGATTTTAAAAAGTAGAAATTTAAAATTTAGGCAGTGTTGGAGTTAAAAGTACGATTATCTTGTAAGAAGACACAAAGATGGACAGACTGCTTTTTAAAATTTTTTTTTCTCTGTTCAGAACACAATGTCCAGACAGCTGCTGGCCTCAGTCCTCAAATTACATTTTTCTCCCCTCTATTCCCTCTTCCCATTCCCTCCATCCATCCCCAGGGTTTAAACAAGATTGATTGACTGACCTGTTTAACTGCGTATGTGCAATCAAAATCTTGTCTTGCCAGCAGTTTCCCCAAAGAGACAGATTTCCGACATCCCTCACTGTCTGGCCAAGTGCTCTGAACAAACACATGTGCCTGCTGTTTTTCTTTTCTCCCTCCTTTACCAATTGGCATTTCATGCGTTCTTAACTGTATCTACCAACTGATTGTGATCCTGTTGGTTTTTTTACTTTTTTATCAAGCGCTCGTTTCTAATTGGCCTAAATGGGGCGTTGCTGTTAACGATCTGTCCTGTGGTGAATTGATTTGCTCTGGAGCCCAGAGCTTCATGGCTTGCTGCAACTTTGGCTCAGAGATTAAGCGATCGTCAAGTGATGGAGAACAATCCCTGTTTTTACATACCTGAAGTCCTGATTCTGCTACAGAGATTATAACTTTTAATGGTTTCCCCAGTTTGTTTGTTGTTGGCAGGGTTTTTTGTGTTGCTTGGTGCAGTGATGTGTTTTTTCTTTGTTGTTTTTTTTTCTTAGACAAGTTTCTGGGTGGTGAGGGAGATCCTCCATGCTCAAACGCTGAAGATCCGAGCCGAAGTGCTGAGTCTGTACATCCGCACTGCCAAGGTATATATACCCACACAAAACACAACATTAACACTGTAATTCACACAATTAGTAAGTTTCATTTTCCTTTTATATATAAGATTAACAGTAAGAGAGAGACGGCACTGGCTCCTGTCGCTTCCTCTGTGTGCTATGCTGAAAAATTGGACAACTTTTTTTGGTTAAAAAATGCTTCGGCTGCAAAGAAAGCAGCTGAAGCATTATTCATTAACTTGTATGACGTTTAAATACAGTGCTAAATTTCTACAGATGGAAAGTGTTATTTTACTGTGCTATGTTGTGAGTCAATATAGCACAGTAATGAGTCATAGCAAAACGGACAAACATGCTAAAGTTAGCCAAGCACAGAGGTCTGCAAACTGCAGCTCTGCGGCCACAAGGAACTCAGTTAATGTCTCTCAATACATCTTCAATAATAACAAATGCAAGTTTTAGCTTTTTCATGGAATAATTACATTGAAATTCCAAAACATTGACACTAAAAGTACCAATAATGTATAATTTATCTATTTTTTTAAATCTATTTTTGGTTTGAAAATTTGCAAATGTTTTTTACGTAATTTTTCACAAATATCTGCATAAAATGTATTTATCCTCTTGACAATTGTTTTTCTTTAGTTTGAAAATCTTCAAAAAAATTTTGGTTCTTTACTAACAACACATTTATTTTTGTAGATATTTTAAGAAAAGTTGTATGTTTTTTGTCAAAAGGTCATGTAACATTTATGGCTCTAAGTGAGCTTGATGTAGCTGGACTGAAGATGAAAATGTTCCTTTGGCATCTGAAGGATTTAGACTCGTGGCCTAGCACCTCTACAGATGGCAACAGCAGGAGAAAGACACGAGTTTAGTGATAATTCAAAACCTACAGAAAGTGCTGCCATCAGGGTGACTGTGTGGAGGATCAGTGCTTTAAAGATGCTGCCTTCATTGATTTTTATTAAGTATCAGACTGTGTATGTGCAACTTCCTTTCCATTCTTGAACGACTCGGCTCTCGCATCAACAAAAATAAAATAAAAATTCAGAGCACGACTGTCTTACTGTGCGAACGTATCTAAATGTCTGATCAATGTCGTGTAACTTTCCACAGAAACTGTGTGACATGAACAACCTCCACGCTGTCATGGCGGTGGTGTCGGGGTTACAAAGTGCACCCATCTTCAGGCTCACAAAAACGTGGGCGGTGAGTGCATTTACCTTACTACTGAAACATGTGGAATGCCCAGTGGGTTTTGCACCACTTCCAGTGAAATATGGCATCTTAATAGACACACCGTAATTGTGAAAATGTTTTTTGCTCTAATTCCTTTTGCTGGCCTTCTGGTTTTGCCATTTTATTGACAGTTACTGAGTCGAAAGGACAAGTCTACGTTTGATCGACTGGACTACCTGATGTCCAAAGAAGACAATTACAAACGACTGAGAGACTTCATCAGCAGCCAGAGCATGGTCTCTTGCATACCATACCTAGGTAGGAGAAATCAATATTTCTACCTATAACAATCCCACCCCCCCCCCCAAAAAAAAAAATTTAAAGTCACGTCTAGTATGACGAAATCAAATCAACAGAAGTCATCTATTTAATGTTCACGTGTGATATTGTTTAAGAATTTGTTTGGTTTCAAAGTTGGTTTATTTAGATCTTAACGTTCTTTACACCATTCGGTTTGGTTCAAATGGAATGAACCAAATTTTATTTGGTCGTCTGAACAAAGCCTGCACACGAAGACGCAGGCTTGGTGTTAATCAGCCAAATGTGCGGCTAAGCTTGTCCAGAAATGCTTACTCAGTGGAAAAGTAGCAGGAACGCAACATGCTTGATTCATTGAGGGGATTCCTCCAGATTAATGAAAAATTAAAGTTGATTTGCCTTTGTGGTCACTCGTCAGGATCTCTGAGTTTTGTCTCTTCAGCTGCACATCACGTTTGTGGTCCTGTGCTTCAGAGCGTTTGGCGTATTTAGGCTTTTAGAAACCCAAGAAACACCCTTTAGAAACTAGATTCTTGACGGTGATCCTTATCAGCCATGCATGTTTTCAAACAGTATTGAAAAGTCTTTGAGTTGCATTAAAAATCCAGCCTTTTAAACTTTACGAGCTGTTTTCAGGTTTATGATTAACGGCGTATTAAGCAGCTGACTGGCTCTGCAGCTGTGCCTGGTATTCTGATCGTACGGATTATTAAGTACGGTCGTGTTTCATCGTTTAATGTTCTCCCTCTTCTCGGGTCGCTGTGTCTTTCTGCTGCAGCTTTTCCTGTGCTCCTTCGTTTACTGTCTTCCCTTCTTTTTTTGTTTTGCTTGGCTTCTTGGAACTGAGAGGAGGAGTAAATGTCGCTCATAAATTTGGTGCTCTGTTGAGAAACACCTCAAAGTTTCTAACAAGAATAAACGCATGAATCGGTTAGAAGAGGGTGGAAAAAAAACCCTCTTTTTCCTCTGCTATATGTAAAAGCTTTCTTTTATTTTTGGTTGGACTGGCTGACATCACACAGGAATCCCTGATGAGGAGCGCAGGGGGGAAACGCTCGCGTCCATGTCTGTGTGGTTTTACTGCCGTACTGTTTGTTCTTGTTTGGGCTTGATGATGACTTTGATGTTCTTTACTGCCAAACAGTTTGTTTTTCTTCCTCTTTAGCCGTCAGACCCCGCTTTCTTTGATGCCGTTGCGGTTCAAGCACGCAAACTTACATGCGCACAAACAAACACGGACACGAGCCCAAAAGCTTTATTGTCGCTACAGAAAGCCGGAGGTGGGCATTTTTCTCCAGACCAATGCAAACTCATGGCTGTGAAGCAGCGCGCGTCACCAGCTTTAACTGTATGTCTCCACTTCGCGTTAGAAGGGAAAGACTTTCCGTTCGCTAAGCGTTTGGATGATTTGCGACCAGCTGCTCTTGTCACAGGGTGGAGTCTCGTCGAGTATTAATGTAGGAGTGGGATGGTGTTTCCCTATGAGATGAGCTTTTTAGTGATGTGAACACATGTGTGCTGTGTGACCGTCTGGCTGTCTTTGGGGATGAAACGGGCCAAGTTGGCCGAGAGGAGGGATATCGCCACTGGCTCGCTCTGGAACGTTTCCCTTCATCATAAATACTCTCGATCAGAGAGAGAGATTGGAAACAGCGTTGCTTGTTCCAGTGCTTCTCTGCTAGTATAAGCTTCACCACTGCTTGCATAAATAATACATCTGGGGGAGGGCCTCCTGGTGTGTTTGCACATGAGAAAACTCGCTTAATTAGTGAGAACTCGCAGGAAGGAGTTTGAATAGCTGCTGTGTTTTTCTAGATGGGAGGTTTTGACATTTTGAAAATTTATTTCTGGGATGCTTTTGTAACTTTGAGTCATGTTTTTGCTCCTTTGCATCTAAATTGCAGCATAAATTTGACTGCATTTTTAATTTGCCATACTTACTGGCACCTCAGGTAAAGGTGCTACAAAGTCTTGCATTTAAATTTAAACACCAATTTTGTTATAATTCATGTAACTTATTGTATGGTTCTATAATGACAATAAAGATTATTAATATTATTCTTAAAATAAAGTTGTTGTTAAATGTAAAGCAAAAAAAGTCATTTAAAAATAAATCTGAACAAAAAATATTCAGAGGAGGTTAAAAAAAATCTTACGCTGAAAAAAATACTTATTTATCAGTTCACTGGTGTGATTTCTACTTTTTTTTTTTAAAACAAAATATTTTTTTTCTTTTCGTATTAGTCAATGACTAAAGAAGGCTGTATGGGTTATACCATTGCTGCCATAGCATCTGAAGGGCAGAATATTGTTTTTATTGCCATGTTAACTCAACAAAACACTTCTCAGCTTTAGTCCATATTTCCCATGTTACTCAACAGTTTTAGCTTTACCACTTAGCTTTACTGAACAGAAATATTATCACCTGTAAGTACCAAAGACCAACATCTCTACAAACAAGTGAGTGCTTCCAGATTTTTGTGAAGCTCTGATTTGAATGCTGTGGTCCAGTTGACCCAAACATGTCATCAATATAGGGTGAACATAGAAAGTGACCTTATGACACTATGATATTAAAGCCTTGAGATATTTCCACGGTGTCCACGGTTCCTTAAACAGTCTTAAATTTAAGATTTTAAAAAGTCTTACATTTTAAGTTTTAAAAACTTATTCTTGAGTTTACTAAAAAACAATCAGTTGGTCTTAAATATGTAAAAACTGTGTTCACTGCCGTCTACTACACGCTGAGCTGTTTTCACAGTGTTTATGCTGTTCTAAACGACGGTGGCTAACGGTGCCAAAGTTGGGATCGTGGTACAGCTTCCTGTTGGCATTAAGCTAAATGGTTATACTTTAAGAAACCTGATCTGAATTTGCATATTTTCATTTATGAACTAAAGTGCTTTGATTTGGTAAAGTACAAAAGTAGCATTTTAAATGCCAGTTTGGCATCAAGGCTACCTCAGAATGAGATTTTTCTGAAAAACATTTTTTATATTGCTAACATCTCTTCTCATTGAGGACCCCAGCATCTGCATCGTTCTCTCATGAGCTGGATGTGTCGTCGTATCGCATCCACATTTCAAATCCAACAATATTGTACTCAGACAAAAGAAAGTGACATTTGGCGGTAACATAGGGACAGTCCGTTAACAGGAAGTTGAACGCGGTCTGTCCCGAGGCACAGAAACGATGCTCTTCTCTGAAAGTAATATCTCTTGTTCTGACAAGTGGAGCGAAAGGGGAACGGGTGTCTCCAGGAACAGAGTTTCTGGTTTTCCTCTGTGAATGCATGACGCAGTTATTTTTAACGAGCTTGAAACTAGACATATATCCCTGCAGGTAGATAAACGGTAAAAAAAAAAGAGTCATTGAACTCTCTAAATATGCATTTGATAGCAGTTGTACGGGTTCAGCTTTTTAAATTTTGCGGTTGTTAAAATGGAAACTGATGCACTCCGTGAAACTAATGAGAAACAATGAAAATACATGGTGCTTTTGTAACTTGCCTTGTTAATATTTTATGGCCCCTGTGTAAATTTATTGTGCTTAATGATAAGCTGATCCATTCTTCTCTTAATGTTTGGCATCGTTCAGTGGAGAAAGACCTCGCCAAAGGCCAGAAGCTTGCACCAGGGCTTCATTTGTGTTTACTCTGAGTTACGGTTTCCCTGGGACACGGACAGCCGTGTATGGAACAACCAATGTAATGGAAAACATCAGGATTAAAGTGTTGTCTCAGATCAAAAACGTCAGCCAGCTAAGAGACTAATTTCCCATCTGGCTCTTTTGACACATGGATCTACGTGTTGCGAGCCAGTACAGCCGGTCCTCGCCAAGGTCTGAGCCCCTGCGACTGTGCCGCATTTTTGATGCAGGCTTATCTGCCTTCTTGGTTCGTTGCTAGTTTGAATTCATGAGGCACATTCTGTCGAGTGTTTGTTGTGATCTTATTTTTATTGTTGTTTTTTTTTTTTAATCTGAAAGCTTTGATCTGTTCTGATTTTTCGGTGCGGCTTGAAGAAGATGTTCAGAGAAGAGCCCTCATTTCAACACATTTTTTTTTCTTCCCCAATCTATGCTTCATGTGAAAAGAATGTTCCTCTGAGTCTTCTCCAGATGTTTCTTGGTTTTTATCAAGTTTACTGCCTCGGCTTTCAGCATTAATTAACATCCACTCTAATCTACAGCTCTCTCTCTGATATGGGCCTGTTTTCCTATGAAAAGTTTTTTTGTTTTTTTTTTTTTTTCTGGTAGCATAATTCTTTAAAGCATCTTACTTCCTTCAGGCATCTCCATTTTTACATCCAAGGATAATGTGAATTTTAAAATGCTGCCTCAATCCATGTCTATGGATTGACTTTTTCTGTTGTGAAGTGCCTCGAGAATATATGAACTGAATTATCCTTCTCACAGTGCTTAAATTTATATATGCATCAAATTTATATATGCATATAGTTCCATATAGTTATTGGAACTATATGCATAGTTCCAATAACTTCAGAACTATCCATTATCTCGTTGTAATGTACATTTGAATAGTGTTGGTTATTTTAGTTATATCATGTTTATCTTGTTTCACATTCGCAATCTTATTTCATTTTATGTGAGCTACAAAAGTGTGTGTGTGTGTGTGCTTGTGTGTGTGGCTCCATCAAGTTTCATACGGATGATGGGCAGTGCAAGACATATTTAATCTGATGAGTTTAGGCGGCCATCGCTTTATTTGTCCATGACCAGAGTTCATGTTGTATTTATTAAAGTGTAGTATGGTAACAGGATTTGACTGTAAATGTTCTTTATATTGTTGCGATTTTTATTTGAAAATGCATTTTGAAAGCCATGCCTATTTTTCTATTTCACTTCACAATTACGCTCTATGTTTTTGGCCAATTACAAAAAGTCAGAATAAATTTGTGGTTGTAGTAAAACAAAATACGTCTGCAGGCCAATGTCAATGCAATCCCAGAATACTACTAAAAGTAAAACCTGAAAGACCATTCAGAAAGTGTTTTAAGTGTTTTATTTTTTCTTGGATGACTGTAAGTTCACATCATATGTTTTCCAGCCGCTTGTCAAACAGACGTGCACTCATTTTGTTCCTTCCCCCCTGCGTACATCTGTTCTGGGGTTTCTAATGCACCTCTACATGGGATAAAAACATAAGCACATTTGTACCGTTACAAGAATAGATATAAAATTGCCAGAGATGACTACAGTTACTATAAATACACTGATAAATAACAACAAGGAATAACAGAGTGAACATGAGGCCTGAGTCGAGTCATACCTTTTTTTTTTTTAAATTAAACAATTAAAGCCAACAATATTTACATACTAAAGCCAGCTCAGCCTTATGCACAATCAACAAGCACACACATTGGTGAGTTTACTTTCTTTTGGATAATGTTTAAAAAAAAAATAAAAAAAAATCCTACAATTTGACAGTAAATTGAGCAGGATCCATTTTCCATTGTTAGATTTTGTTTTAGGCATTTTAACATTTCAAATTAAAATGGCATCAACTCCTATTCATTACCACTGTGTTGCACAAATATCCGGTGCCACTTGATATAAGAAGCACTACTTTCAATAAGTCATCATTAGCTGCTCAAGAGAGATCTCATATCTTTAGTAAATCACCATTTTCCTTTATTACATACTCGGTCTTGAAAGACAGAATCAAGTAAAACGTATTGGAGTACTACTGAATGTCCTCAGGAAGACTGATAGCCCGTAACCGCCCGACATCATAGGAGAGCAATTAATGAAGGTAATATGATTTGTCTTCATTTTAGCTTTTCGTCTGGAGTTATTGTCTGGCAATAGACCGATGTCTCTCACCTGTTTTTTTTTTTTTTACTCTGTTATGATATCAAAGATTCCTGATTCTGCCTCTTGATATTATTTATTTAAGGGTAGAAAACGTAGCAAGGATGAACCACCATCCCAAGTCTCAGTCAATTGGCCGGATCATGAGACGGACAGACTTTAGAGAGTAAAAGCCCCCTCCGTAGGCCGCCCAGAAGATCCCATCCTGAAATTTGCTGCGGTAGACTCCACCACTGTACCAAACTCCATTTAGATTGGTCTGACCGCAAGCGTTGTACCACCAGCCACCTTTATGAAAGTGCGCGCAGTTTCCTGAAGAGAAGAAGAACACGGATCAGGGAACAAAATCAGAGGGTATGTGAAGATTATTTGTCTGGCGCATCGACCTACCAGAGAATTCGTCCCGGTCACGGTCGAGTGTGGTGAACTGTTTGCCGTTGTTGCTGCTGAAGGAGTCACCAGCATTTCCCTGGTAGGACCCCAACCTGAGCTTATAACCTTCACTCTCGGGCTCCAGGTAAAAGCTGCTGTACTCTGCGTACACCTTCTTCCCTGTCCAGTCCTCCAGCTCTACCATCAGCTTGTAGTCACCCTGTTTTGCCAAGCTGTAGATGTTGTCCAGCCCAAGCCAGTGTTCACCATCTATGTTGCCAAAACCTTTCTGTAGGAAACGAGAAGTAGGTTTTTAAATGTCAGTGTTTTCAGCATGGCATTAATCTAGCAGTGCAGTTCAAAGAACACAAACTATAAACCTGAATGAGTTTAATAAAATTTCAGAATGTTGAATTTTAATGTTGCTGGTGCTTGTGATCAAGCAACATGAGTTTACATCTGCTTCTAATCGGGACTCTAAAGTGATCCTCGACCTCTCACTCAACAAATTAGTTAAAAGTCAGAGGCTTTGGCAATCTGGCAGATGCCTGACAGAGTAAATGCTGCAAAGTCGGAGCTGCTTAGACAAACCTCTGTTTCCGTTTCAAACAGTACGCAAGTATTGATTTCAATGTCTGATTTTTATGACCGAGGGAACGTCTTAGTTTCCTTCCCCTTTATTTCTGAAAAAGAAAGCCAAGAGCTGTAGCTTTTAATTGTAGGGGTTGGTTTCATTTTCTGTTGAGGGGAAAGATATTCATTTCATAGTTGTCCCTCCTAAGTTTACTTTTGGATGTCATCTCATCTTTTTTGGATGTAAAAAGCACTGAGAGCAACTTGAGAGCTACCTTAACCCCCAAGTCTTCTGAGATTGCATCTGCTTGTACATTGGTCTCTGGATGCTTTTCTTGGCTGCAAGTTTTCTGTGTAGGATGTTAATCTGTTGGCCATTGGGCTAAGTATGTTGTTAGGGCCTCTAAACTGAACTGCTCAGACTGGGTCACTGATGAAGGGGCGATAGCATAAATTGTGAGAAAGATTCACTAGTTTTTCTTCTTAAAAAGAAATCCTTTCATTAATAAACTTACTTTGTAGTTCTCCCAGTTCCGAAAGAAGTTGACAGAGCCGTCTTTCCTCTTTTGCAAAACTGTCCATCCTCCGTTGTCAAGACTATGCTCACACCAGACTTGGATTAGGCTTTCGCTGTTATCAGTCTTGAGTAGGTACATACCATTGGTGGAATGACCCGCCCGCCGCACCTGATAGCAGTCCTTGAAAGGGCCTGGGGTGAGAGAGGCAATAAGGTAATTCTTTAAGCAAAGTGAGTACTTGATTTAAAAAATATATGTACCATTGTGCAATCTCGGGTGACTAAGAAGAGGGACTGATGACTTGGTGTGAGTTTTGACCTCATATTTTCAAAGTTCACAGTTGGAAAGGGGAAGGTCCAGGTTGCTTCCTGTGTTTATTACATAATGTGGCTGCTAGAGATGTAAAGTGTAATGAAAGCTGCAGGTATATTGTTTATTTGCACTTTTGACAAATAAAAGTGTAAATAAACGATTCATTTTACCTACCTCTGTTTACAAACACTCATTCGTTCATTATTGATTTGCACCAGTAATAGTCAACACAGCAACAATTAGAAAATCCCACTGGTCTTCTCAGTTGCAGTGAGTATTACACTCTAGACATCGTATAACCAGATCTGGTGTTCAACTTTTGAGGCATATCAAACTAAGTGCAGTCACTATTGAAAAATCAGCTACATTTGTATAACTTATTCTGTTATGGTTGGCTTGAAACCGTTAAAGTGAGCTGTTTTTAGTTAGGCCACCCAAAAACAAACTCATACTGGCCTAAAGATGTCTTTATATAAATTTGCATGCTTAAATTGGTACACGGGGATTCCTCTGGGAATAGGCTTTAAAGCCTCAATTGATTCTATTATGTAGCTTTACCCAAAACTGAACCAGCTGAACCTATACCAACATATATTCACTGTTTCCGCCTTGTGGGAATAGTTATTAGATCAGCATGAACACAGGCTTTGTGTGCGTGTGTTGGGGGTGGAGAGTCTATAGACCCTACAGGCTTTTGGTAGATTGGTTCTTAAATGTCTCTGGACTGAACGGACCCAGTGTAATGCCTCTGGGCAGAAATCTAAAGCCTAACGGCACACGCTTGTTTTTGTCCAGCGGTGTCTTCTTCAAACATCATCAGGTTCCTCAGGCTGAGGCTAAAAATAAATCAAGTGTTACATACTTACTGGCCTAAAACGTGTTTAAGTAGACCAAACTGTGGTCCTGCAGGGAGTAATTACAGTTCTGCTGAACCTACATGGAACCTATTTAGAAGTAGTGTTTGATATTTTACTGTCTCCGGTGGCTGTGTATAAATAGTTGGTGAAATGGAAAAATTGAACTTTTACTGTCTTTTTTTCTTTTTTTTTATTGCTGTCTCTCTCTTTTGATATTCTTTCAAATACCATTGAAGTAAAATTCCTTCCACCCACCTTCTTACCTCTTAGACAAACTTTCCCACCTCTGCCTTTTTCCTTTTTGCACATCTGCTTCTCAGTATTGAGGCTAGAAAATCAATAGAATTTGACAAAACACCCGCTTTCTGAGAAACTGTGAATGACCGACAGATCTCTGAAGAACTTTCAGCAAAATATCTATTAAACTTTGGATTTAATCACAATTCACATTCTGCTTGGGTGATTGAAAATAAGTAAAAAGGGAAATAGATTTTAAATCAAGGTCAATCCGATTAATCTGCTGATTAATATGTATCAAAGTTGCAGGAGAAACTCTGTATCCCCAAACTTTCACTAACAATTCTTGTACTCCAAGACATCCAAGTTAGAAACAAGATAAATAAACGAACCAAACCACTATGAAAATCAAATACATCTGGATAAAATTGGAAAGTTTCGGGTTTCTGTCCCTACATCACCCCATGTCTCCAACGTAATTCTCTGTTACGTTTTACTTCAAAGCCTTATTTAGGTTACAGTGAGGATGAGGACATTGGAAGCATCGATTAATGCAACTTCTAGATGACTGGTCCAATTAATGTCAATAAATTGCCTCAGAAAACATGATATTCCCCAACTCGGTTACCACTCTTTAGTCCAAAAGAGTTTTCTTTCTTCCTTCTGTCTCATGGATGTTATGAATGCTTCATCCATTTCACTTACAGGTCGGATAAACCTCGTCAGCATTCCCCGACATACTCTCAGTGCCAGCAAAAATATAACTCCTTGAACTGGGGTTAAGGAATTCCCTCCAAGTAAAATTTGAAAGTTGCAAATGAGTTTCATCTCAGAAATGATCCGTTTCAGATGTCACAGTGAGATGAGCTCTGGGAAATGGGCATTAGCTTTGGGGGAAAACCTTGTCTGTGCTAAAGGACTCTTGGTTTATTTCAGACACCTGTAGATTGATGAATTTCTGATATCCTGTCAGGTCTGTGACTCTTCTTCTACCTCACCATGCCTCCTGTAGTTGGCGTGTATTCGGGCCCAAACCAAGCAGTAAGTGTCTCCCAGAGCTGTTCAAAGAGACTTAGTCGACATCCCTCTAATGTAGTACATATGTTGAAGGCATTGCAGCCAGTACAGACAGCCAAGTGGGAACAGAGGAATGCATGATTTCACTGCCTCTGTAGCATGCCAAGGGAAAGCCAACTGTGCCTCAGCACTACTGACTAGGGTGAGGAAACGCATTTTAATTTGCTGTTCTTTGCTAATTGAGCTTAAGTGGGTTGCATAAAGAACAAAAACACAGTGGGGAATCGTAGTGAAGTGGTGCATACCGTCAGAGGTGATCGTCCCTTGGGGTGGCGGGGGATCAAAGGGTCTAGGGGTAGGTGCCTCCATGCGAGAGTCTCTGAGGAAGGCCCGATTGTTCCTCACTATCTCATTGGTGAAGCGGTTATCATGGGGTATGTTCTCTGGTACTACCTGCACCAGCGGAGGAACTGGGGGCAGCTCGCTCCGTCCCAACGTCCTCATGCATTGTTCCTCCAGCGCAGCAATGAGAATGGACTGATTGTTGACCACCCCGGCCATGGTAGCGAAGCGGGCCTCCAGCTCCTTGTACCGTGAAGCCAGTCGCATCATCTCCGAGGTCACGTTCAGAACGCGGTTCTCCAGCTGGGCCAGCTCCAGAGAATTGTCTCTCTTCCGGATGATCTCATGCAGCAGCTGCATGTAGAGCTGGGTCACTCTGGAGTTCATGTTCCTGCTCTCTTTCCGCAGCAGCTTCATCTCGTTCACCAAGTTGCCATCTACCTCCACCACCAGCTGCAGTGTCTCAATCTCGCGCCGCTGCTTGTTGAGTACCTCCCGCACATCTGCGATGTCCATGCGGGTCACTCTGTCTTTGTCTGGCTCGGGGCCTGTTGTACTGGCACAGATTGGACCTGATGACAGAAATTAATCATTTAACGGAGGAACAAGAAACTGGAACTCAAACTGGAACTCATCCAAGAGGTTGCATTTTATGTACCTGTGATTCTCTGCTCAGGCACCAGGAATGTATAGGAACACTTTTTGGCATCTTCATCCTGAGCGGCTCTTTTACTCCTTTGGAGGGAGAACTCTTTGGTTCTCCGGGCATCCCTTGAGCTCCTGCAGAAACTTTCCTCCCACAGAGAGAGGCAGAGCAAGGCACACAGGCTCCAGATCAGCCCCTGCATCGCTGCCGGCTGGCTGGATGGATTGACGGACGGCTACTGGGGCTCCCTCCAGGCCTCCCTGAAAGAATACAAGACCTTATGAGTTAAGGAAACAGTGACTAACAAAAGAAGTGAAGCCAGAAAGGCTGTTTATTGTGTGCTATTCCTGGACCAACCTTCACTGCACTGTAATGAGTAGGTATAGGATTATTTTTTTTAATTGACAAGCCTGAAGTAGCAAAGTTGTCCTCTGAATAAATTCTGGGTGGAAGGAGTGAATTAAAGAATCTTCTCTGTCCGGCCAACTGGACGAGGTCTGCTTTCTGTCGCCGATCCATTCTCAGTTGACACCCTCCTCATTTTCCTTGCTCAATTTCCTCTAATAAGAACTGCTGATCCAGAAGTCCTGCTACTTTGTCTTTCTGTCCTTATGCTTGCATTTTCTCCAATGATATTAAATACATTTCTTTAACAGTACAACATCGGGAAAACTGCTGTAAAACTGTTTCTCTGGAAAACAGCAAGGCTTGATCTCCTCAAACTCTAGCCTTTCTTTCTCTGTTTGCTTATAAATGAAATATGTAAATAAGCATAAATAAAACTTCAAACCAGACTCCTCCATTTGGAGCACTGTAGCGTGGATCATGTTTTGTCTCTTGAGACGGAGCCAGCTGACTAGCTTTGCGAGTCAAAACTTGCTAAAACATATTTCATTTCTTTTGAGGCAAAGTTCCCAAAAACAGCAGTTTTTTGTTTTGTTGTTATTGTTTTAATAGCTTCTGCAAAATATGTTGAAAGGACTCTTCAAATTAACGACAGTTTATTATTGGCGCCGCACCATGAACCGCGACATGAACATCTCTGAAAACATTGAACATAATTTCTATCTTTACAAAATGTGAACAAAAATTGAGTAGCATCAGATCTAGGATTTGTCTTTGGTAAAGAACCTTGAGCCATTTCTCCCGCTGATGCAAGACACGCATAAGCATTGGTTGTGTTCTCCCAGTGCTATAGTTCACTTCCTGCTTTTAGATCAGTCTCTAGTCTGTATGTATTCACACAAAGCATTCAAACCATGCCAAAGGTAACTTCAATCTAACGGAGACCCATGCTTTTATGTGGGCCAGAATTTCCTTTTGTGGTCCGCATCAGAGTTTGATTGTGCATTCACACCTCCCCAAACGAACTGGACTTTCCAGAGTTCGATTAAAGTGGACTAAACGGGGCTGGTGTGAATCCACCCTGAATCTCATACAAGTAGACTCAGTAGGTGAGTTCTGAAGGCAAGTTGTTGCTGGATTCTGTTTAGAGGCATTAGTCAATGGGGTGGACATAAACACAAGTTGATGTAGTATGTACAGTTATATGAAAACCATAAAGAAGTTCATGTGTTTTGCACTGTTTTAACCTCAGGTTCACTCATGCAGTCTCTTTCAGTGATAGCAGCACAATAAGCAGTGACTTTCCCATTGCCATCCACTCCCATCACACAACCCCCTGCAGAAAATCCCCCGACCCTAAATTCCTGTGCAGCTTCCCGTGAAACAGGTTAAACATGCCGATGGGGATACTGGGCAGCAGGTGGTGTTTGTGTTTTACTTGAAAGATTTGAGGGACGCTCACACTGTGGCAGCCCATCACCCTGCGGGTGTGAAACAAAGCAAATCCTCTTTCATTTTTGTTTGAAGTGTAGCTCTCTGCACCTTCATTCTCCTCACCCATAGATTCTTATTCTGTTTACTGTACAAACACAGCAAAAACACAACCACACCAGATCCGCTACTCCTGCGTTCATCTCCTCCAGGCGTGTAAGACCAACTCCATTTGGCCCTCCCAGCGGTGCCACATCGTTGAGTCGCACCTCCGCCCCAAAAAGCTCAGGCCCCATGTGTGTCTCGTATGACGCCATTGTGGTTCCTCAGGAATTCTGGTCGTTATGTCACTTGGAACAATGTTGAAGGGAGAGACCGGAGCGCAGCCAGTGCTGCAGCTTTTTTGCGTGCGTGCATGCATGCACACGTCAAGGCAATAAGCTCGTGCGGCTGTCTGAGTGATGTGCGTGTGTTTGCATTACTATTTGGAGACATTTTTCATGGTTGGGGTTTTCTTCTTCTTTTTTTTTCCAGCAGACTGTGTGTCTGACAGCGGAACCAGGTACTGTATCCCATCTGACCTCAGTAAAAGCTGCTAATGACTTTCCCAGAAACATCATTCCTCCTGTGTCTTTTCTTCGAAGCCTCTTCGCTTCATAAAGTCTCTGCTCGCAAGATGTTTACGTGGGCATGAACGAGACGGTTAGAATTGGAGTTTATCTATGAGCCGGACACAGCTACTCCTCATTTTTTATTTCATCTTTTTTTTTTTTTGGTCTGAATTCCTCCAATGCAATTGCTTTGACTATGAAGGGCCTCACGTCTTTCATGAAACCACAACATATCAAAGACATTCCAGGTTATGCTGACAGGTCACATGAAGGTGTAGAGTCTACAATGTTTGCTGAAAACACTTTTTTTTTTTCCTCAAAAAAAAAAGTTATGGTTTGTCCGCTCATTTTTTATTGAGATTTTATGTATGCGGTAAAAGGTGGATCTACAAATTACTATTTCGGAGTAGCTAAAAACAAGTATTTTTCTTCTACATCATAATAAAGCGCTACTTTTTGTGGGCAGATCCTATAAAATCTACTAAAATCCATTAAATTCATGGCAGAAAGTTAAGGTTGTTTTTTTTAAAGCAGTATGGATACTTTTGCAGGGTGTTATTGTACTGCAGCTATTCTTTGTGGCCAGGTTTATTCTGACATTCTTACTGATCTTGAAATGATTTTGCTGCATCGCACAGAGCTTTGGGTTCTTTGGTGCAAGGCAGAAACAAATCATGAGCATTTGAAGAGAAAGCTCAGGATGCTGATAATGGAAGAAAAGCTAAGCAGTGATCAGAAAATAACTTTTGGTTCTTTATCCCACCTGGCCGGGGGCCATCACCATAACTTCAGAGAAATCCTATGCACTTTATCATTTCAGCGGTAACCATCCATCACACTCTTTTCTCTCTTTGTTTCGATTACGTTCTGTACTTCCTTTCTCCGATTCCATTCTTTTTCATCTATATTGAAATTCATATGGAAGTCGAGTCCTGCTATTAATTTAGAAACTTTAAATAATCTTTTTCCCCTGACTCTAATATGAATTATTCTTCATCTTGTTGGCTCGGCTTTTGGCGCATTTTATTTATTGTGCAAGCAGTGAAATAACGTCTGGAAAAAAGGATTGCAGTTCACTTGGGCTGGCTTGTGTTTTGGCAACATCTGTATACGTCTTTGCTGTTGCCCCATGATGTCTTCACTCCATGCTAATTCCTAATTATGATGAAATGTGTTTGGTTATCTCTTTAATACCTCTTCACTTGCTTTTTATCTCCATGCTTTTCTCTTTGCTTTGGGTCACTTGATTCTTATGTCAATAATAAGGTCAGTCTGAAGGGTTGAACCGACTTCCTCTTCCTCCACCAAACGCGCTCTTTCATCTGGGAATCGGTTCCAGTTGAACAATGTTCCTTTTTTGTTTAAAGCAAATGAAACTTATCATCCAATATCTGCTTTGATTGGTTGTTTCTGCTCATTATATCCCCGTTGAGTTGCTACTTAAACTCGGGAGTGTTAAGAGGTTGGGGCCTCGAGACTGTTTCACACAAACAAAACAGACTCCCCTCTTTATCTTCACTCTTTCGTCACAGGAATGAGGTGATGTAGAGATAAGTAACTTTTCCAGAACGCTTTCGCCCCACTCCATTTATCTTGGTTTGCATTTTTTTCCCCCCTCAAGACGAACAATATTTCATCCATCTTGAGTGTGTGTGTGTGGCAGCTGATGTTGCTCATGGATCTTCAAGTTGGAGAGAGATATTAAATTGTTTCCTGCATGTTTTGAACAAGAGGAGCTACTTTTAGGAAACTGGCTGCTTGCCAGTTTACAAAAAAAAAAAAAAAATTGGCTTTTAATTTTTATTTGGCTTGCTATATGAATGGTAGATGTACGTCACAAAGGCAGCCATGCGGCAATCCTACTGCCTCAGGTTACATAAAGCCTGCAACAACAGGCATATAGGTTTTTCCCCAAACAAATTGATTAATATACGTGCAATTCAAACTGTGTGGAAATCTGACTCACTGCAGGTGTCTGGTTGGAGGCAAAATCGGTGTTGACTGTGAACTTTTGGACTCAATTTTCATGGGTCCCTCCAGAAAGCTTTTAAAGGATTGGCTAGATGGTGGAGATGCTGATAGCATGAAAACATTTAAGCATTTTTCTCATGCTGCCGTCTATGCATAGCTGGTATGAGATTCCCAAGGTACGAATTTAGGGCAAAATGGCTCAATTTCAAAGTATTTGGACAAAAAAAATTTTTCTTTAAAAGAAAAAGCTGAAGTGTTCATCTGCAGCCAAAATAATGTAATATTTATTCTTTTTCTGTTACGATTTTGAATTTTGTTGTAGAAATTAACTATGTTGCACAAAAGATACCTTTTTGCAGTTATTTAGAGTGGTACATTAAGCCAGAGTGTTTAGTTTGGTGGTTGACTAGCCTGCACTCTGATGCTTTACAGTCATGTCACCCATATTATGTCAATTGTTGTTTCCATTCTCTTGTAAGTGGAAATATTTCCAAACATTCAAATTAGTCTTTGTTATGTTGGAGTTTTCTTTCAGCCAGTTGTTCTGAAGTACTCAGCAACAGGTAGGGAAGGGGCAGCGCTTCATAACTCCAAAACTGACAAAAATTAATCTAGATATAAAAGAAGTACAAAAGATGTTTCAGCTAGTTGGCTCCAACTGTCCTAAATTTGTAGTGATGAAAAATATTCTCAATGCAAGACTGAAAAATGAATGTCTGTCAGTGGATTGTATTGGAAACTCTTAAAACTCCTGGATTTGGTAATTTCACTCTTATCAACCCAGTGTGAAACACACAGGCATTTTGTCTGCCAAAGTCATATCTGCATTGCGTTAGTCTTAGGGCTCCTGTTGTTGAGATCTCCTGCAAAGATTTTACCAGTCGGCAGCCTGACTTACTGTTGCTGGAGGGAGCCATAAACTTGTATAACAATATATTTGGATTTTTATAGTAGAATCAAAATCCAGTGCTTCCACGCCACCCGCTATCTGGTCCTCAGACTTTCTTACAGTGAAGCCAAAAACAAAAAAACCCCAACAATCATGAACGATTCAATGTTTTTCAGAGAAAAAGCAATAAAAGAGGAGATATTGTCTGTAAGAGGGGGAAAAAAGTATAACCCACAAGGACTTGGCTTTAAGGTAACCAACATAGCTGTGTGTCAGCTTTTGTGTGTCTGCACAGCTGGATGCAAACATCCTTCCAGTCAAACATCCATTGCATGATGTCACCAGGCACCGTTTCTGCTCACAGAGACGCGTTAACGACATTATTAGTCATGCGATGTTTTATGTTTTTGCCAAAAGGCTTGGTAACGATTCCACAAGAGGAAGTGAGTTCGACTCCGAAAGGTGGAGGTCAAATCGGTTCAAAGCTTCGAAGAGGAATCCACTCAGCATGAGCGGGCGATGCTTTAAAAAACAACTGACATTATGAAAACAATTAATGGGTGGAAAACAACAGCACCGCCGCACACTGAGGAATAATAACAAGAAGGAAAACTCATAAAAGGGAATCTAAAACAAAACCGCAAAGCTTCCCAGAGATTAAATCCTGCTTCTCGACACAGCTTAATGTTTCTTTTTTGTTAGATTTTTTTTTTCCAAATGTTTTTCTAACCATTCATCTCCTTGAAGAAGCTCATTTTGCTTTCTAGGCAAAGAGACCTCATCCCTCTCTATGCCATGTAAGTGAAAAGTAAAGGACAAAAAAAAAACCCTCCTGGCCCCCCACCGGGTGGGCTCATCTGTTTTGCTTTTTGTGTAGAGAGACGCTAAACATGTGGGCTGATGTTGGGGTCAGAGGTCTCTATGTGAGATTTGGCATTTAGACCCACCCTTCCTCTCCTTTACCCACCCACTCAAACACTTCACACACCCAGCAATCAATTGGTCTTTGTGGGAAGCGGGGGTGCCCCTCTTTCTCGTCATGCACAGCCTTCACAGCCATGGAAAAAAATATGTTTTGCGGGGAGCTTTATGGGCTTCTTGTGGCCGAGGTTCATATAAGGCTGACTTTTTCTCTCCTTCGAGGAGTCTGAGCTACAGAGATCTGTGACCGACCTCTAATATTTGTGCTTTAAGTTTAGACTTCGATTCTTTTTTTAGGCAGTTTAGATGTCTCTTAAGTTGTTTCTTAAGAAGTAATTTTTCTTAATTTTACAAGTGCGGATAAATGTGCGGTCTTTAGTATTTTGTATCAATGAGTAACACAATTAGCACAGTTAGCTTGGCTAACTATGAGCAGCAGTTCCTGTGTGTATTCCCAATACAAGGCAGACATTTAATCCTCATTACTCTTAATATACTGAGGATTGATGTTAAAAGTTCAAATGTACTAAAAAAAATAAATACTAGGTCGTTCACTTCCCCTAATTTTTACCAAAGTCAGCTTGAGGTCACTTCATTCCTTTGCCTGTTCTATGAAGTGTTTCCTGGGCGGGTACAACGTTACGCCCTGCGGCACAATAACCGTTTGGACAGAAAACGCACCAAGCTGTTGGGTTTTTCCGAAGCATAAAATGGCAAAATTGCAAAATTACCAGTAAGCTGTTTTGTAGCAGCTGGCATGCTTCAGGAGAAAACAGTTTCGTTTTTAATTTGCTTCCTAATTACTGGAAATGGCTAACTTGGTCCACTTCCTATAACTTCCACAAAAGAGTGTTTTTGCCAGCGCAACATGGTGCGTTTAATGGTTGGAAAAAGATTGAATTTTTCACGGGTTCATCTCACTTGTCACTTGTAAGGGCTGGTCCTGCTAAAAACAAACTGGTCTTTTGGTAACTCTGGCATTTCTCCTCCATTACAGTATAAAATCTCTGCCTGTAAGTACTCTCCACTACAATATTACTTCATCTATTCTTTTTTATCAAATCCCAGCAACTTTTTTTGCACCGTTTTTCCTCCCAAGCCCTTGTCTCGTGTGTATTGTTGCCCAGGGTGACAGGTGGCTTGCCTCTTGAACTGCTTTGAGGATGCTTGGCTTTGACCAAATATTTCAGCCTCCAAAAAGATCTGGAGAGGAGTCAGCAGAGAGCCGGGAAGAGAGAGCGTTTACAAAGTTATGGCTTTCCATTTTGGCTTTTAAACTTTCTGGTTCAGGGGATGATTCGTAGCCTCTCGCAGTCTCTCGGCCGGTATTTATTTCTCCTCTGAGTCACACCTCACCCTTACGCCTCTTGCGCCACACATGCCTCATATTAACTGGATCAACACGGAGGAGCTCGTAAATTTGCAGCATAAGCTCTGTCCTCCCCTATCCAGCTCCTTGGCTGAGTTACGTGCCTCCTGTGTTTACCACGACCCCTCCACCGCACCCCCCAGCTGACCTCCCGCTCCCTGATGTGACCCAGCTGTTCGGCTGTGTCCAGAACCTCATTAAGGGTGCAGAGTTTGTGCTGCAACCTTAACAAAACTAATAATGGTTTTAGTAGCTCCTCATGTTTGGAGTCTGTTAGCTTCAGGCACTATAACGAGTTCAGAGCGGTGGTCTGTGGCTGGATCTGACCTCATGTGGTCAGCGGGCCAGGATTAGTGGTTTCAGTCCAAACTATGGCTGCATCCAATACGTGCTATCGCTTTCTGCCTCCTGTGGGAGCGTGCAGGCTCAGGTTTAGTAGTAAAATATGATTATCCGCATGCCTGTCGTCCAAAGACCACAGCTGGTTGTTGCAGACTGGATGTGTGATCAGTCAGGCGCCGCACTACAACAGAACATCCTTACCTGACTCCTGCTTTTTGGGGAGGTTTCCAAAGCATTACACGGAAGCGACACCAAGCAGAGGTGGAAGGTTAAGACAATAGTTGATGTTTGATACTAATGACCCATTGAAAGCCACCCCACCCTGCCTTCTTCCTCCTCAAGGTCCCGATGAACGTCGGGGCCAAGCTCTCCGGCGCTCCAGGACGGAATGTTCTGGCCATGCCTCCGACCTCCTCTTTATCTTTTTCTTCTCTGCTTCAGCCCGAGTTACAGGAGTTACAGATATTAGGATTTATTGCTGCGAGGGAAAACCGAGGAAGCTTATGAAATAGTTTCTCGGGCCTCTTCCTGCTGGCTGACGTGTGTCGCTTGTGGTCAGGTCTGGGGGCTTGCAGATGTGACTCCAACCATCGCAGCAGGAACATTTGAAGACTTTTGTAAGATGTGGAAACACCAGATTGATACCATTGGTCTTCAAAGCTTTTTCTAAGAAGCCAGAGTTGCAATTGAAGTGTCTTTCATCCACAGGGTGTGAGTTACTGCGATCTTGTGCTTCTGATGTGAAAGATTTTAGAAGCTACAGTACGTATCTGTACGTCTGACTGTCCTCTCTCTTAGAGTCAGAACTCAGGCGGTGCTGTTTTGCAAACTTCCAAAAACCATAACGAAAAACGATCCCTGCTGCAAGTGATCTGATCTTTCCATCTGATCATATCAGCATCATTTGTGAGAGTGTCTGGAATGCGTTTCTCTTGACATTCCCTCCCTTTCTTTCCAGACTTTCCCATATAAGGGTTTGAACTTTTTAAACCTCCTCCAGTATCCTCAGTGTTGCACATCTTTGCACGCTGCTTACAGAATACTACAGACTCTAGAGGAAAGGAGAAGCAGCTCTGCTAAATATCTGTCTGCAGCTGCAGACTCCGGTCACAAGACCTCTGCGCACACACACACACATGCACACACTCATTCACACACAATTCCCATAATAAACTTCTGCAACTTTTACCTGCTTTGACACCAGTGGTGGGGTCTGTGCTGGTTTTCTCCGGTTAAGGTTTAGCGTGCCTGTCGTGTTGAGGTTTCATTGAGTTGCGCTGCTCAGGAATCATCCCTTTTTTCTTGTCTTTGTCCTTGTGATGTGAGCCGCTCCCCCCCCCCTCACTTGCCCCTTCCGTCCGGTGCGTAGCAACAAGCCGCCAGCCTTTTAGCGCAGGCCCTGCTTCCTTAAAGCGTCGGCTGTCCCGGGGCTCAGGCTGGGGGCATGGTTCAAAAGCCAGCCTCTTCAGCGTACTGAGCTCCAACCGCTGATGCCTTGAGCTTTTCACAAAGGATGAGGGGGGGATGTTGGAGAGGGAGGGCTGTGAAGGGTTTGCTTGATTTTTTTTTTCTCTCTCTCTCTCTCCATCTTTTTCTTCCTCAGTTTATAATTTTTTTTAGGAGTTGTCCGGCCTCCCTCTGATGTCACTGAGGAAAAGTAACCCATAAAGCAGAATCAGAGAGGTGCTTCATTAAACTTTGCTTCCTCAACAACGGCAGTCCTGCTTCTCTTATTATGCAAGTCACTTGAAATGAAAAAAACATTGAAGGCCTTTTTGTTTCTCAGGCTGCTGACTGAGTTTTGAGCAGCAGGAACGAGTCACTTTTTGTCTTGAATGCAGGGTCTGTTCAGGTGCCTGAAATCCCTTGAAAAGACTGGAATTTCAATGAAGTGTTCCTAAAGGTTTGGAAAGTTCTTAATTTCTGCTTCAAGTCTTTGAAAGTGCTTCATATTCCAACTGTGCAGTTTGGTAATAAAGTGCAATTTAGCGTTTGATTAAAAGCCTAAATTTGGAAAACATTATTTTCAATTGAAACCAGTTTTGTTTTTGTTTTTCAACGTTTTTTTTTCTTGTTTTCAGGTAGAATTTTCAAAATTATTTCTATTTTCAAAATACTAGGAAATGTAACATTTGTTTTTTTATTGTTATGCTTGCTTTTTATTATAATTTGTTTAGCATAATTTGAGTAGTAGTCACTTTAACAAAATTTAGTTGCATTGTTTTAATGTAATGAATGCTCTTCATTTGCGATGGCTCAGTGGCGTCTTGTGTGTCATTGAGTTAAAAGTTAGCTTGTGTTTCATGTGTTAAACAGAATTATTGAATTTTCTTTGTTAAATTAGTGTTTTGTTGGACTAGTCAGGTCCCAACCTGACTTTTTTTTTATTTGCATACATGTTGACAACAAAAAGCACAAGAGGCTTTACATATGAAAAATGGCTACTGTGCACTTCACTCCTCTCAGACGTGAAGGAAAACTTGACAACAGTCCAAAGCAGAGTGAAAATTTTAAAGAAAGGTTTCTAAAGAAAATGAAGTTGACTGAATCTTGAGGTCCTTGAGGAAACCCTGAATTATATCAGATAATAATGAATTGAAATAGTCTTTCTTTACATCATCTGTCTTGCTTTTATATCCAGAATGTGATGCTGCAACAGTTTGAAAACAAACCTTGTAAACACTTGAAAAGAGCTTGACTTTTACAAGTGTATGACCGATGAGAATGTCCTCCTCTTGTTTAGTAGCCGTCTTCTGTAGCAACCGCAGGGTTGCTTGTTATGCCGCCGGGGTCGTCCCCGGGCGCCTTCCTGTCGAGAACAGCTGCACACAAGCGGCCAGATAAAACTGATTTGTGGCGCTATCGTGGCAGATCGCTCGCTCCAGGTGTTGCCTGAGACTTGTTGACGGCTTGTTTTGTTTTGTCACTGCTGTCACGTTCCTGGAAAAAGGAATAGTGGACTTATGCTCTCTTTAAGCAGCAAACTCCGAGACGAAGACGGGACAGAGGGGGGATGGAGTTTGTTTTCAACCGCCTCACTTCTCTGACCTTTATTGATCCTCTTAGCTTCAGCATGTAAACGTGCATAACATCCACCCTAACCACAGGTTCCCTGAACATGAGGGAACGCTGTGCTGCTGTTCCAGCCAGCTGCTGTTCTCTCTGGTCTGCTCACAGAAAGCAGCTAAGCCTCTGGGACTCTTTCCCTCCTCCCCTGTCCGTCTCTCACATTCCCAACTACAACCTCCAAATTCCTGTAAATGATTCTCACTTTCCCACCCTTTTCTTTATCTGAGTTTATTGAACACAGTTCTGTTCTGCTGTCAGCATTGACTGCTGAACATGATGTGATGCAAAAGTATTCACACCTCTGTAATTTAAAATCATCCCTTCATAGTGAAACACATGCTCCCTTCTGTGTTGCTTCTAGACTTTTTGGTTGTGTACAGATGGACATTTTAATTCATTCTTCTTCGTAATTAACCTCAATCTCAGACTGCATCAGCAGTGTCTGTTAACATCGGTTTTTAGGTTTTGTCAAATTTTCGCAATTGGATTTCGTCCTGGTCTTTGACTGGGCCGTTGTGACGTACGGATGTTTTGTTCCCCTTCAGGTTTGTTGTCCTGCTGAAATTGGTTCCAGTGTTGGTCTTGTATTTTGCTCCATGCATCTTTTTAATGGGATTAAGGACAGCATTCTGACAGCATGATGCTGCCACCACCATGTTTCACAACGGGAATGGTGGGTTCAGGGTGTTGGGTTTTCCATCACACAAAACCAAAACATTGTATGCAAACGAGTTCTAAAGTCTCATGCAAGCAAAGCTTGTTCTTTAACATTTCCCATTTGCCCTTAATGGGTTATTATAGGACTGGACAAGAAGTCAATATCAATATAAGTTGCAATAGAGAACTGATCAATGTCAATAGATGATATGTCTGAACCGCTCTGCATTCTGGGGCGTGCAGGCAGTGGACAGACTTTAGCCGCTCTATCTCTCACACCCAGCTGATCAAGTTTGGTAGCATCAACTAACTCACTCGCTCTTTGGTTGCCCAGAAACAACCTGTTCAGTAGCATGCAGAGGCAGTTTAAAGTTTCACCATCCTGCCTCAAAAATAAAATGAAAGCTTGCTTAAAAATAAAACGGTGTGGAATGAAAGTAGATATGAGGCATTTTGGGTTTTTAAAACAAACAAAAAATCAATAAAGCGATATTGACTGATGAGAAATGCTGACGTCGTGATACGGTTTTCTGCCACGTTGTCCAAACCGAGGTTGTTGCAACTTAAACACAGGGACTCCTTATGATCCTGTTGCAGCTCTTCTTACAAAATTAAAGTAGGTGTGAATAGAAAAACCTGATGCACAAAGAAACATGTTTTTTTTTTTTTTTCTTCCACTTAACCTTTCTACACATCTTTGTTTTGGTTTCTGGTCCTGGACTTCGGCCACTATCTTGTCAAAGTATCTGAGAACAGCTCTGTTCTCGAGGAGGATTAACAGCTGAAGGTTTTCTTCTCATCTGCTAAGTGATAAACTTTGCACATCTGCGTTCAATCTCTGGCCTGGCGTGTGAAAGAGCCATTGAGCAAGACAAGAGGGTAAGAAAAACGACCCCATCAGACTGCTCCTGAAATGTGCTCATCGCACATGGATCTCCCAGCGTGGTGGGAAGCGGCTCCCGTGTTTGTCCCCTAAAGTCATCAGTTATGTAATAAACCTTTCACTTTTGCTCTAAGTGACTGCCAAAAAAACAAGATCTGTCATTGTCTGCTTATTCTGGAGCAACGGCTGTTCAAAAAGCCTGCTTTGTTTGTGGTCATCTAACACATGTAGACTCAAATGGTCTGAAGATGCCTGCTGGTTTCGCACTAAACTCCTCCCACCTGAATGAGTAAACCTAGAGATATTTTGTTCCGTCGTCTTGTCCAGCCGTACCCATTGATCCGAGCTCTGCTCTCCCAATGAAACATCTCTTCTTCCTCCTCCTCCTTCCAGGGATGTACCTGTCCGACCTGACCTACATCGACTCGGCCTACCCGTCCACAGGCAGCATCTTGGAGAACGAGCAGAGGTCCAACCTGATGAACAACATCCTCCGAATCATATCAGACCTGCAGAGATCTTGCACCTACGGTGAGACGCACTCACGGAAGTAGTTTTCTTCACGTGGCCGTTGATTGTAGATGCGGTGGCAATAATTCAGCCGTGTTCAAAAAAGTTTTAAACTTTCAAAGAACTGAAATTTACAGGAATTAGAATGGAAATAAACCTGGAATTTAAAACGATTTAATGTGACAGTTTGCAGTCAGTTTCACAAGACGGTTGTCAGAAAAACAAGCAAGATTTTCTGTATTTATCCTTGAATGTAGAAGCTCTTCCTAAATGAGACACTATATCGCACTGCTGACTGCACAGGTATGGAGGCCACACCCCCTAGATTCACTATAGCTGGAGTTCAGAGTTCGAAACTTATTCTAAACACATATTTTGGTTCATGAACTACATATATTAAGTTTTGCAGATTTTATAAGATTCATATTTTTTACATATAAAATAATAATAATCAAACATTTTATTTATAAAGCTCTTTTCAAGATTCATAGACGCTGTACAGTAATAAAGACTCAAAGCAACAATAGTGAAAACAGACGCTGAACTTATTAACCGAGGACAAACAAAAAATGTTTTAATATGATTCAGTGTCTTTAAATAAAATTGATTCTCATGAAAAGCTTCCAAATTTGAATACTTTCAAAATTCCCTTTAAATATAACTACATTTGGACATTAAATGTTCAAACCTTACGTAAACTACTTGATTAGACATTAGATATTAGGCGCCCTGTACGCTGCCCCCTGCTGGATACCCACTGATGTTCACAGAGGATTTCTCTGAGCCAGAATATCCAGCAGGCTGATCAATTGAAGAATATTTTTGCTAATATTTTGTAACACATGATTATAGATAAAAACACACAGATACCTCATGTCATTTAACAATTATTGGCAGTTTTAAATTGGTATGTTGTTTAGAGAAAATTAAAACACCTTTTTGCCCATTAAAGTGGACATTAAGTTTTTTTTTTATTTTCTTCTAAAAAAATTTTTTTTCATGACGAAAGCTGATTCAAAACACTAACGATAAAAAAATATAAAGAGGGAATAAAAAGACAAGGAGCGGGAATCGCAATCTCTTCGCTTCATTTCCTGTTCCCTACGAGGGACTCTTATAGTCCAGCGAGTTTTTTTATTCCACAAAATCCCATAGGGTGAATACCGTCAATATTAAAACAAATAGTACAACTTTTGAATTATTCCTATATGAGAAATAAAGAAGAAAAGAAAAAGAAATCATTATTTTAAATCAGTATTTTTGGATTAAAAGAGGAAGTAGTCTTGAAAATGCCAGCAAAGTGTGTCTATTCCTTTGCCGGCTCTTGAGACCAGAATCTTGAGGTTTTTCTGGTTGCTTTGTTGTAAATTGAATTAATTCACTCGTGTTTCAGCTCTGGTGCATGAATGTGTCTCCTCTCTCAGATATCCCAGTGTTGCCTCACATCCAGAAGTATTTGAACTCTGTCAGGTACATCGAGGAGCTGCAGAAGTTTGTGGAGGATGAAAATTACAAGTAAGAAACAAATTAAGTCGCTCACTAATTAAGCACCAAAAAAATTTAATTAAAAGTGCAACTTTTTACATTAGGTTCTAGTAAATGTTAATGTTTCTGTTTTGTCGAGATATGGTGATGTCGTACACGCCCACTATTGACAGTCGGAAAGACAAAACAACATGCGCACCATGTGTAGAAATTTCCTTGAGACAATAAAATGAACTTTTGACCTAAATATAGTCACATCTACAAACACTTAAAAGTTTAAAACAACTGGACTGTGACAATAAAGACCCAAAATATACTATCAGAAAAGATAAAAAGTAAAAAAAACACAGAATTGGAAAAGTTCCTCTAAGAGGGACATCTCAGGGGTTTTCAGGTCTCCATAAGAGCTACTTGTATTTTCAAGCAAGCCACACATCACATGCTACTAACTGTACAGGTTTATGAGCAAAAACGTTCTGATTCACTGATGATATTTGTTGTTTTCTGCTTCATCACTCAATGCCACTTTTGATATATTTATATTTATGGTGTTTCTAGGAACCGTTCATGGAGAATCGAGCAGTTTTGCAATAAACATACTCTTAAAAGACTTAAACACATTCTACTACGCTTGTATGCGACATATTGATTGAAAGTTGTATTTGAAAAGGACAACCCTGAGCACTATCCCAGACACAGTGGTGGCAGTATCATGCTTTTCTCCCCTGAAAAAAGGTTTTATGCATATTTTAATCTTCTCTCGTTATGCCGGTTAATTAACTGAAACAACTTTCTTCCACTGAGGCACCAAAATACTTCACAGTGCTAATCTGACTTTGATTCCAGCTATATATTTATATCTATATATCTCATTTTTAATTTAAAGAAAGCTTCACTGTTTTCACCCAGGTTGTCTCAGAAGATCGAGCCAGGCACCAGCACCCCTCGAGCCAACGCCTCCAAAGAGGACCTTGTTGGTAAGTCAGAGTTTTTGGATCTCTCTTCTACCTTTGTAATTTTTTATTTATTTGCATTTTTTTTTTTAAACAGGTCAGGAAGCGTCGTCCTCCCCTCTCTGCGGTCGTAAGGGTTCCGTCGCGGCCGACGTCCCCGCCACTCCTCCGTCCCCCAGGAACCTGCTGCCCTACGGACACAGGAAGTGCCACAGCCTGGGCTACAAGTCAGTCTGACTTTTGTCGTCACTTATCGATTCTTTCATCCATTTATTCATTCACGTATTTATGTTATTCATTCATTTATTAATTTCCCACCCCCCCACGCTCCCCTTCAATCATGGCTTTACGTTAGCTAGGAAGCGAGAAGCAAAGGTTTCTTTTGTTTTGTTTTTTTTTGTTCCTTCTATCCTACAGCAGTGCTGGCAGCTCCCTTTATGTCCCTCCTCTCTGCTGTGTTCTGTTTCCTCAGTTTTATCCATAAGATGAACACAGTAGAGTTTAAAAGCGCCACATTTCCCAACGCTGGCTCCCGTCATCTGCTGGATGACAGTGTGTTGGAGAGCCACAGTCCCAGCAGGGGACAGGCAGAGAGCTCAACTCTGTCCAGTGGCATTTCGCTCGGTGAGACTGAAGCCTCCATAATGTCGATGAAAAAGCCACAGCGGTTGCCAGGTTGCAACACGGTGACATTCACCTTATGGTTTCTGTCCCCGGTACAGGGAGCAGTGAGGGCTCCGAGCTCAGTGAAGAGATGTCTTGGCCAGCTTTTGAGAGGTAATGCATCCCATTTCTGCAGGTTACCGTGCAGATCATAAAACACTGTCATCGCTGTGATCACATGTCTGTTTTTTTGTTTTTTTTTTTGCTTTTTATGCTTTTTAAAGAAGCTTGTGCAAATAAACTTCAGTAAACCTTTTAAAAATTCCCAGCGTTTGCTTTCAGGCCGTCACGCCTCATCCCGCCACTCCCGCTCTCAAAAACGAGCCACGATATGCAGATGCTACTGCTTCTCTCCAGCAGCCTAAAAGTGCATTTCTGTGCTTCGATAAATCTTCTCACTAACACCCCTGTGCGTGTGCACACGCGTGTGAAACGTACGGAGCCACACTGACCTGATCAGGAATCAAATTTTTCAAAAATCCACAAGCCTGAAGAATCTTCCTAACCTCTTTTCCCAAAGCACCATTGTTTTTGTTTTGTTTTTAAAGTACCTCACATCCATTTTTAAATCCTCTAACTAACTGACCGCTCCTCATTCAGAGCTAACCTGTGCAGTTTGAACGGGAAAAAAAATAAATAAAACCCACACACACATTAACAGTGACCCGTGCCCCGTATCCTATCCTGTCCTATCTTATCCAATTTCTGAACAGGACTCGGTTCTATCACTCTCTGGGCCCAGTGACCCGTGTGGCCCGCATCCCGTACAGAGGAGTCCTGAGGCCCAGCAGGTACACCCACCTCGACCAGAACCAACTTCCATCTGATCCAAAAATCTCTCAGCCTTTTTTTTTTTGTTTGTTTGTTTGTTTTTGTTTCCCGCACGCTTCATTCGCTGCCAGGCCGCTGCGTGCTGGTGCTTAGCCGGTGTAGAGTTGAGGCATAATCTGGGGGCATGGGGTGATGGTGGGACACAGAGAAGAGTTTCTCTCTGGGGCTGCAGGTTCCTGTCTTTTTGCTGCTGCTGTTCTGTATTCTAACTGCGGCGTTTCTTCGATTTTTCTTGCATGTCTGTCACTCACACACATGGTGGGGGGTTAAAATGGAGGCAACGGGCCTCCGATAGCTTTGAACAGAAACAATGACTAGAGCTGCAGCTTACAGTAGGAGTGGGCGATGTGATAACGTTATTAAAACATTTTAGCTGCCAAATCTGGCCTGATTACAGCAGCAGAGAAATGAATAAGAAAACTGCTGCGAAACAGAGAATTTGATACAATTTGTAGACGGGATCTTTTTCTCCCTTTATAATGACAGCAACTTGGAAATAAATGACAATGAACATTTGATTATATTCAGTGCTGTGAAAAATATTTTCACTCTTACAGATATTTCTGATTTTGCCTTTTTTGTCATATCAAACCAGTTTTAATGTCAAACTAGATACAATATCATATCTTACTAGGTGGTGGGCATTTATCGTATTGTTGATCAATTGTTGTAATTTTTTTTATTATTTTATTTTCAACTGGAGTTGGAAAACTCCAGTTTGTGTTGTTTAAAAAAATTTATATATCACTGACATTATTATCAGAACTGTTATTTTTGCTATTTTCTCCACTGTTCCACAAAAGCGTCAATAAATATCAGTAAATTTGATTTATTATTTTATTTTTTTTACCTCCCTCATAACTTAAGTCATGATTTGAAAATGGCATTTTGTGTCATTGTTGTCTGATATTAACATCTGTTTGATTACTTGAAACATTTCAGTTTGACAAAAAAAGCAAAAACAAAAGAAATCTGTGAAGGGTTCAATACTTTATTTTTTTTTAAACAGTACAGTGTTGGAACCTGTGTGAGGTAATTCTGTCTGTTGCAGCTTAAAGCAGCTTTTGGCTTTGGATTCACAAAAAACAAGCATAAAACAGTTGGAATAAGATTTACCTAAGTGGTGATGTTTACCTTTTTAATGAAAATGCAGGCTTTGAGTTTGGCTCTAAGGCTGAGTGCTGTTTCAGTTTGAGTCGTGGTTGATAGAAGTTGGCAAACTTGCACAAATGGATGAAAATCTTTTTTTATTTTTTTGGACGTTCTACCACCTGAAAGCTTTGTTGAATGGTTTTTTACTTGGAAAATTGAGTGGAAGTCATGATAGTGAATTTGCATTAAATTGATGGTGCTAATATTTCTGTCACATCGCCCACTCCTTGGTTGAACAATTATGTATAAATTATCTGGTAATGAATTACTTTAAAGCTTTTGAAGGGGGAGGGGAGGAATGAGTCAAGTCCGATCTTTCTAGACTGTAAACTTTCTCTCAATGTAATTTCAAAGTATTCTACAGCTGTGAGCCGTAATGAAACCCTGCAGACATGCTGTGCTCCTCATAATAGACACCAAGTAGATCCTAATTGCTGATGGAGAAACGAAGAGAATCAGTGCAGACATTTTTACGGAAGCAGAAACCGGCCGTCACCGCTGTTATTTTTATGTGCTTTTCTTGAGATCTTATTATTGGAAAGTAACACATTTTTCACATTGAAAGGATTTTTTTTTTATGATAATAAGATGTTTGTCTGGAGATGAATGTTTTAGTCCAAAAAAAAGATAAATCCTTAATCCTTTCTTTCCGTTCATCTCAGTCATGTTTTCTCTTCTGCGGAGCGTCATGTGGCTACAAATACTATACTAGCCGTGACGGTGCATTTAATTACAGCCAGTAAACTACATCATGCATGCTAAATTGGCTATAAAAGGCTAATCTCATGTTGCTGTCAGAAAACTTCACCCTGGTCTTGCTCAAAAACTAAAAACTATCAAATGATAGAACAAACTTTACTGCAGATGGCTTTAAAATTTATAGCAGAATTCCTCTAGCTGTGAAAGCTTTGACTGAAATCTCCAATTCAACAAAAACGCACATCTGTCCATACAAATGAGTCCTGAGAAGCACAGAGCTCCAGTTATGCTTTAATCTTATGTTTAAGATTAAAAAATATGGATGCACAAAATTAAATAATTTGGCCATAACATCAGTAGGCTGTCCTGTGGTGGTGATCCAAATCATCAAACATCACATTGTTAAATCTTTGACGTTTTTAGCTGGACTGCAGTGACTTTATCTATTAGCAGTAAGAAAATAATGTTTTTATAGCAAGTTTTGTCATGAGTTATGTAGTTTACGATTAGTGCTTAAATGCACTGTCACAGCTATCTGCAGGTGTTGCCACAGAGAGGCTTGTTTCTTACTCAGTCTGGGAAAATATGACAAAATAGGTAGCTAGTTATCTATAGGGAAAAAGTCTGGAATCTAGCTAACTAGATAGACAGCGGGCGAGATAGATGGATAGATAGCTGGTCATCCAGCTAGCCAGCCAGCTCGCTCGCGCTCTGTCTGTATGCATCTGTCCAAAAATTCTAAATATAAAAAATATGACATAAGCTGTAGGAACCCTGAAAAGCTCAGGAGAGCAAACAAGGGTTAACAGATTAAAGTGAGTTAAAGACAAACCGTACGAAAGTTTTTCATCGTGTGCTTAGAATCTGTCAAAATGACATAACAAAACTAGTTACAGTAACAATAATATTATGAAGTGGGGCGGCTGCTTTCTGCTTCCATGCATTTCTCTTATAGGGTGAATATTTAATCTTGTGGTTCTGGACGTGGTTCTCTTTATCTGTCGGCCTTCTTCACTGAGTTTCCTGCTCTGATCCTCCAGACAGGCACAATCTGCACACCACCTTACCCGCGTCTCTTCATGCCTCTGCAAACGGCAGCATTAAGATTTATATCTGTGAAAGATCAGTTCTGTCAAAGGCGGACAGAAAAATGTTCCATAAAAACGTTACAGTCCCATAAAGACGGGATTAAAGGTAGCTGTGCAGATTGTTTCTGCTTTTACTGTTGGTGTCTCTCCGATTTTATTCCGGTTCATTGTTCTGCATGGCGATGCATGGGACGTTGTTTATATGGCGTGTGATGTCTGTCTCTGTTCTGTTGCAGCTCGGCCGAGTCGGAGGAACTTGCCGTTCACCTTTATCCCGGAGCCGTCACCGTCCAAGGGGTGCTGAGACGGAAGACCGTGCTCAAAGAGGGCAAGAAACCAACCGTGAGAACATGCCGATACGGTCATTTAAATTAGGAGAATGCAGTGTGCATCCATGTGCTTTTTATTCTTAAAACTTGATATGGAAACACCTGGGTAGCGTAGAACAGGTGCAGAAAGAATATCATCTGCTGAATGCCTCTGCTCCTTGTGCAACACTATGAAAATATACCAGGTGCTTTTCTGGTTTTTCATGTCTGTTACCCTTAAATGTATCAGATCATCAAACTGATTTTAATGCATGACAAAGATGAACATCAGATTATGACTGCAAAGGGATAAATCTGTCTAAATCAGCCTGGCACTGTTGGAAAATATATAAACCTCCATGACTTTTTTTCTTTTTTTTTTTTGGCTCCAGTTCCACTTGTAATATTCAGGCCTGATTATTGACAGACCTGTTGGGGAAAAAATCTGACAAAACAAAGTAGAAAAAGATATCTAAAGCGGCACAAAGAAATTTAAGGGCAGAGAATAAAAAGAGTAATTTATATGGCTACGGTGATTCACCGGATTACAAAATTAATCATGGTGTTTGCAGCAGGTTTCAGGCATTGCTTTCTACTTCTGTTCTTCAATAATCAATGGAGTTGCACATGTTCCTGTTTAGCAGATCTTACAGGAGAAAGTCTGTCCATCAGTTTGTGACACTGAGCACACGTAGGCCTGGTCCAGCAGAACAATGATCCATGCACCAAAAATATGTTTTCCGAGAAGCTTAGTTGAAGCCTGGACTTGTTGCAATAAAACGATTAACTTTAGCAGCTCATTGTCCAGTCAATCTCTTCAATATGGCTGTAGAGTGAGCCAAACTCTCCCCACAGTTACATGAAACACAAACTGTCTCTTACCCCAACACCTTTTGTGAATTTGCATTTTCACATACTCATTGCTAGTTATCACTTTTCAATGGCTCATGATGTGTTTAGTTTGGTTTAGATTGCTTCGTTTCTCCCTTTATAAGTGAAATCCTCATCTGAAAGCTGTTTCGTATTTGCTCCAGTAATCTTTATCTGAGAAACATTTAAGTCACATCAAACATAATAATGGAGCACTTTGTTTGTGCTTTACTACGTCTAATCTATTTAAAACTTTTACTTGCAAAATTTATATGGAAGAAAGACATCCTTAAAATTTATACATTGAAAATATATTAAATTATTTTGCAAAAGTCTCTTTTTAATCATCAAAATAAATCATTTTCGGGTTTCTTTTCTTTTTGCATACATTTATATATATTTCTCAACACATATATCTTTTGTGCTTTCTCTATCAATTAAAAAAATGTGGCTACTTATTCACTGTTGGGTCGTTTTACTATGTCTTGGTGCGTCCAGGTGGCGTCTTGGACCAAATACTGGGTCGCGCTTTGTGGAACTCAGCTTTTCTACTACCCTGCCAAGTCCCTGAAGGCCACAGAGAGGAAGCATGTAAGTCGTACTGAATCCTTCAGTCATCGCGTGCGTGTTTGAGAGTGCTGCTTGAGGACATTTTAGTTGTTTTGGAAGACGAGGACAACAAGCAGAACACAGAGACGCGCAGAGTCTCGTTCTCCATATGAGCTGCAGTTGTGAGAGGAATGCTCCAAAAGCGCCTGTGTATTTTATAAGGAGTGAACACATGATGGTCATTACTTGCGCACTTCTAAAAGCAGCTTAATTACCTGATGAACTCAGAGAAAAACACTTTGCTTGTTCTTGTTGACAGAAAACAAAGGCAAAAAGCTACGTCTTTTTGTTTCACGAGATGTTGTGTGACGCACCGGATCGTTCTGCTCGGTAGTTTGAAGGAAGAAAAGATTCAGTAAAACCCAGAGGTTGGAGAAGGAAACAGCCGAGTGGACAAGATGTCCGGAGGCTGTTGGGTTCGCGTGAAGCGGCCGGTCGTAGTTTGCGCACAGATTATAATAGGAACTGTGTCTAAGTGGCTTCACACAAAGCTTTTAATTCTTCCACTTCAGTTTGAGCTTTTAGAGGCTTCCTCTGTTAATAAGTGGCTTTTAGGAAAGTAGAGAAATGAGAGCGAGCATACAGGGGGGAAAAAAACGACCTGCATCTCATTTATTATGGGTGAATAGTTTAGCAGGAGTCCTCCTGCTGCATATAATACATTTTGGCACCTTGTGCAAAAGCTAACTGTCCATTTTATTTGTCGTCCTCTCAGTTCAAGTCTTCGTCCAGCAAGAGCGTGTGTGTGGTGGGTCTCATGGCCATGATGGCCGACGATCCAGAACATCCCGACGTCTTCTTGCTGACCGACTCTGAGCACGGTGAGACTCGTGCACTAAAAATACGACCTTAGCTACTTTGATGTTTATGCTACTTCAGTTACGGTCAGCTGTGGCTGAGGATAATTTTTCACCTACAATGCCTTGTGTCGTAGTCGGCTTACTGGATTTTTTTCCTTAAAGCGAAGTGAGAGACACATTAATCTCCAACATAGTTGCATTACTTATTAAAAACGAATTGCCCAGTCTATATGTCGGGTGCATGTAAAAAGTATTCATCCCCTTTGGATGCTTTATTCTTCTTTCTAGTTTTTAAGGATAATTATAACCAGTAAAATTAGGCTTTTTTTGACATAAAAAAATGTCAAGGCTAAAACTGGGTTCTTGAAAATATGGACAAATAAATAAATTAATTTGCAAAACCAATAAAAGTATAAAACATCCAAGGGGATGAATTCTTTTTATAGGCAATTTACAATTTAGGGAACTTTTGGCAAAAATTGCTCAAACTGGATTTTATTTAGGAGGATAAATTCATATAAACTTTTCAGATCTGGCGTTCCTCATGAGAGTAGCTGTGGCTTTGATTACATTTTGCTCGGTCCCTGAAAGTCGAGCAGCACTTCAGCCGTCTTCTGAGAGCATCGGTGGAAATGCTCCTCGTTTTACACTCGTTTTCTCTCTCTGTTGCCTAGGTAACACCTACAAGTACCAGGCAGGAAACAGGATGAACGCTTTGCTCTGGTTCAAACATCTTAGTGCTGCCTGTCAGAGCAATAGGCAACAGGTTAAAAAAAAACACACGCACACACCACAAGGGTCACAGATACACACAAACATTCTGTAAATTAAATGATTGTTTCTTTATGCAGGTACCAGCCAATCTGATGTCATTTGAGTGAGCGGACGGTGAGAAGAGAGGGATGAGGAAGCGAGGAGGACGAGGAAGTGGAAGCTTTCACTGCCATGAGCCCCGACAGACTGACTCTCACCCCCCTCCGACCTCACCGCAGCCTCACCTGCCACTACTGCCTTAACCAGAGTTCCTAGTTGTGTGTGTGTGTGTGTGTGTGTGTGTGTGTGTGTGTGTGTGTGTGTGTGTGTGTGTGTGTGTGTGTGTGTGTGTGTGTGTGTGTGTGTGTGTGTGTGTGTGTGTGTGAGCGCAGGTCTGTGTGGAGGCAAGCGACTGCTTTGGATGTGCTGACCACTGAACAAGGACCTGCACCGCTGCTCCCGACTCCCACTCGCTCTCTGTGTCTTTTGTTCAGCACTCCAGCGGAGCCCTTACACTTCACACACACACACACACACACACACACACTCAGCCACTCAGACTTCAACATCTGCAGCTTCATTAGTATTCTTTCTGAAGAGGCGAGCTCATTTTAATCACGTCTTCTTCCAGCTCTCATTCGGTCAGAACACACTCCAGAGCCATTTTTACTTGTTACAGTTTTAGTTGCTCGCTTTTGCTTAACGGTCACACACACACACAGAGAAACACACGCGCAACGTTCTGTTATCACATCGGTGTTGTACGTAAGGGCTCCAGCTTCTGCAGGAACAGTTCCCTCCTTTCCTGAGTGTGTACAGTTTTTAGTGGAGAACTTGCCCTTGTTTTTCTGTCACTTACTGAATTTGCTAGATGTTTGTACAACTGCATCAGGGCGGGCGGAGCTTCTTTAGATTTTTCACAAATCTCATTTGTGGTCCTCAGTGGTACGATTAACCCAGAATCTAAGCTAAGTTCACAGATGGACAGATGCTTTCCAGTTTGTTTGCTTTTTTTTTTTTTTTTTTATTATTGTTATATATTATTATTATTCCAATGTTTTCACCAGAGAGGAAATGCTGCGTTTCCTGGACTCGCGCATCCAAAACACTAAAGACTTGAAGCTGTGAAAAGTCCAGGAGGGAAAGAAACTAATGACTCGTGATTTTATCTCCTCTGTTCCCCTCTGGCCCATTTGGTTTGTTGGAGCCTCTGTTCTGGAGCAGACACTCGAAGCTACCCGGAGCCATTCAGAGTCTGTTTTTAGGCTGGTTTTGTTTTTTTATTATTATTATTATTATTCTCTGTGTTGTTCGGTATATGTTTTTGTTGTTTTAGATGTTTTTGGGGTTTTTTTGCTTCTGGGAGAGAGGGATGGTGCAGTTCATTCACAGTATTACTGTTGCCCAGCAATGTAGGTTTGTCTGTTACATATGAATGTTTTTTTTTGTGTGTGTGTGTTTTCTTTTTCTACTTTTGGAATATTTTCTTTGAATCCTTTATTATTGATGTGGGAAATTTTCCACAACAACAACAAAAAAGGATTTTGCTTGTCCGCTTTAACCAATCCCGGCTCAGTTTTGGGCTCCTAACAAAATGGCGTCTTGGGTGGAGAAAACGAAGCCTCATAGGTTGCGATTAGTGCCAAGTCAACCTCACTGTTTTTTTTTTTTTTTTTTTTTTTTCCCCCCTTAGGTTGACAAGACATTAAAGGGTTATCAGCTAACGTCTGTGGGCCGCAGAAATCCTAATGTGAAACACGAGCAGAACCTGGTAGAGGAGAGGGCGACGGAGTGACATTCAGAAATGGCAAATCATTTTATGAACAGGTGTTAGTTTACATTGTACCGGTGCATCTCGGTAAATTAGAAAATTGTCGAAAAGTTAGCTTATTTCAATTGAAATTGTGAAATAATATCAGGCACGCCTTCTGAATCACTTCCAAACATCTTTTCCTTCCACTAAACCTTCCTTAATCTGCCTGGATACTCATGTGAACGGCCAGCTTCTGTAGCAGCAGCTAAGTGTGGCTTACCCGACCTGAGCAGTAACAGATTCCATTTGCGAAAAGCTACATTTGTTCAAGTTAACAGAAATTAAAGCTTGACACTTTTTAATAGATCGATGTAATATGAGTTGTATGTCACTGAATTACTGAAATAAGCCACATTTTTAGTGGCATATTCATTTATTTAGATGCACCAGTATGTTTACAGAGCCTGACCCCTTCACTCTGCCCGCTGTGCCGTACTAGCAGGAGCTGATTTGTGTACAGGCAACCCGTGTGGCCTGTCTCTGAGGTACAGTGCCGGAGCAGAGCAGGTGGCTAATGGGCGGCAAATCTCAGAACCAATTCTTACCTCCTGTCTTCATCTCTGAGGTGATCCCCAACGTCACAGACACGCACCCCCGATGTAGAAAACGTGTCCTTCAGCACAGCATACTGTACAGTTTAATGATTCAAAAGAGCCACTTTTGTTTTGGTCAGACATTATGTAGATGGATAGGATCAGGTTAGGAAAAAAGAGAGAAAGAGACGAACCAATGGGAGAATGAATGAGGAAGCCAAAGAGAGGCATGTGTAATGTGTCTCTGTAAGTGTGTGTGAGGGATGATTTGGGTGCCTGTTCATACTTCTCTATTTTTTTTTTAAAGCAATGTAATCAAAGCCAGATGAAGCGGTCTGTCACTGCAGAGCGGGGGGGCGGCGGGCGTCCAATTTACCCAATCATCCGTGTGAATAACGGCTGACGCTACGGCTCCACGCCGGCCTGCTTTGCGCTGGACGTGTGAAGAAAAGGCGGACTCTGAAGGGGAAACTGAACCGCATCAGAACAAGGGACTGCTTAAGAGGGACCGTGCCACAAACTGTGGAGACGGGGCCCGGCCGGGGGTTTGGCCCGAAGGGACAAAGAAGGTTAAAGTGTATTTAACCGTGGGGGACGCTGGAGGCCGTTTTTCTAACCGGTCGGCGCCGGTTGAGGCGCCTAGTGACTGCATGAGAATCAAAGCGAAGAATGTGAGAATCTGCAGAGAGGACTGTGGAGCAAAGTAGCTGGGGGAACGGATCCCCATCCTGACAGCGATCACCTTTCTTTTCTTTGCATTTGCTTTACCTGATGCTAATTGACAATGATAAATGAAATTGCAACCTATGTAACTGAGTTTTATACCAGAGCAAATAAGTGCTTAATGGGTTATCTGTGAATTTGAGTTTAATGATCATGACAAGCACTTTTTGTGATGTTTTCCCCTCACTGTTACCTGGGTTTACATTGTTGTTTTTATTATTATTATTCACTTCTGTACAGCGTATGGTCAACATAATGGAAACCCGTTGAATTAATTTTGGGACGTTTCAGTCGTAGATATTGAGCCGACATTGACATGAGATCCATTTTTGTTTCGTGTAGGAGTAGAAACTGCAAGCAGAGCTCAAAGCGCCAGGCTTTACTGCTCTCTGCTTCACCAGACTGTTTCCTTTAAACTGACCATACTCTCTGCACACGCACAGCTTCCACTGTATTACCCGTTTCGCGTCGCTAACTTGAGTTCAGTCGAGCAAAAGCGTTCAACCCGAGGAAGTGTTAAGTTTATTCTCCGAACCAATGTGACTCTGTGCCACCTGTCGGGTTTCATTCACTGTTTACCAAGAACGACTACGACGGCTTGACCTTCAGCTGACTCCGTGTGTCTCTGTCTGCCTTTGTGGCGAGCGCTGTGACCTCTCTGAGTGATGTGCTGCCTGGTGTGAAGACTGAGAACCAATAAACACTCTGCCCTGTTTTTTTTATTATTTTATTTTTACTCCACACTTCAGCTCTGTTTTTGTTCTCTTTAAGGATTAGTATTCAGACTGTTTTAGAAAGTGTTTAACAAAAGTTATTCAATTTTTTTCCTCCACGCCTCCAAGACTACAGTGTGTTTTTTCTGGGATTTCATTGCAATGAACCAGCACAAAGTGATGCATAACTCAGGGGAATTAAAAGGATGGATGTGTTTTCTAGCCACATGGTATCATTTTATAGCACAAACAAGTTACTATGTTAACTTCAGTTATAAAAATTATGTCAAATATGACTTAAAAAAAACTGACTTTGTGCTTTAACGCCATGAAATTGAGCCTCTGTCTTTTTAAAAGCTTCTCTTTCTGAAATGTTGCCTTCAGGAAGTAATCACAGAGAGGTAGCTTGTATAATGAGCGCAGGGGATGTGCACTTCTGTCAGGTGTTTGCTAATTACTCCTGGCTAGTCTGAAGGAACTGAGTAAGGAAATCTTGAAAACCAAGGAAGGCGAGACTAAGTCTCACGCAGTCGCAGCTGAATATTTGCCACGGGAGATTAGATTTCTCAAACATGCCTGGAAAAATCAAGGCAACTCTCAAAAGTATGACTTTGATGAGGAAATAACTTGAGTTCGAAACTAATACTGCCCCTTTAAGATTATGTTTGAGATACTTGAGATTTAAAGTGAGGCATGACTGTGGAGCCCTCTAATGTGATTCTCCTAATTAAATCCAATGCAATCAATCAGTTGCCTTCAGAAGTCACCTGGTTAGTAAATGTAGCCCTAACCCGAGGTGGTCTGAATTTTTAACTTGTCCAATTTACATTTGAAGAGACGTTTTAATTTGTGGGAGTTTTTGATAATGTATTCATTTCAGAAGGTGAAGCTGCTGCAGAAATCTGAGATGGATTTAAATCCCTGACTAATCAGCCACACATTTTGCATTTTGACTGATTTATTGACTGCCAAATACTCATTAGTTGCAGCTCTGGGATGAAATAAATAGTCTGCAATTAAAGAGAACTATTGGGACTAAAGTTGGTTAAAAAAATTAAGCAGCAGAAATCTGAGGAACTGTGATGTTCAGTAAGGCAATACATACCTGTTTTGCACATATTGAGTATATGACTCAATATACATTTAAAATGAAGGTCTTGACAGTATTTTCTTTAATCGTTCTTTCCTATTTATCGTTTTTAAGTGAAGAACAACACTACATTTGGTTTGTAGAAGTTGTAATTTACATTTCTGCTCTGTGACATCAAACTGTCTGGCACCAATGCTGTGTGCTACAACGTAAACTTCCTACCAGTTAAATATTTTTTATCCATCAGTGGACGATCATGAGACCAAGTAAGATATTGAATTTTTGGGACAGAAAGCTCAAATCAAGATCCCTTGGAAATAGAAAACACACAACATAAAAAGGAAAAGGCGAACGGGAAGAAACCAGTCGGTGTCTTAGACTGAGCGGTGTGAAAACGTCTGAAGCCAATCACCCTGAAAAGCCCATCAAAAACACCCACAGAGGGACAAAGGAAAAGCTTTCAGTGGCTTGAAGAGGTCGTGGATGATAAAAGTGAATCTGCATTAGAAAAGATGATGCTGGAGCGTTCGCTTGGTGTCATCTGAAGGCGTCTGGCTGAAGGAAACCAGCCCGTGTTCCCAGATGCTGATGATGTGGAGTGTCGGGTCAGGACAGACGGCAGCCATCACCTCTGCAGGAAATGTGCAGATAGACCGTGAATTCTGCCACCGCATCTGTCAAAAGGGTGGCTGGTGATTAAAGGGACATTATTCAGGATGAGGATGTCACCCAGCAGAATAAAGACGGACTGACGGCTCTGTGACAGACGGCTCATGTTTCTGTCCAATTAAGCCTGGGAAGCTGCTCTGTTCAGAAAACCTCAAAGCTGCTGGAAAAGCTTCAAAATTAGATTAGTTTACTCAACATGGAGTAAAACCATTCTCCTAATAATTAAGTAAAACTTACCTGAAAGTCATTCTACTGTGATTCCAACCAGGTTTAATGAAACTACCAGAGTGACCGGTTTTCTTCTGCTGGTTGGAGCGGAAAGTGTCACAGCAGCTCCCCTCCCCCACATGTTGCTGAGGCGAGTGGGTGAAGGCTGCTACCATTTATTGTTTAAGAAACACAAATGAACATTTCACTGCGTAGAGGCGGCCCGAGCAGAGAGCCGGATCAAGTGAACAGCTAATATCAGCTCAGTTCACTTCATACACTAGAGCAGAAAGACAAGAAATGTTTTATGGGCAATACAGTAATATGAAATAAAAGGAATGATTGTGCTAAATTAGAGAAAATGCATCATGTTAGTTTTAAATTTTTTTAAAGATTTATGTGTAAATGCAGTGAAGGGTTGAGCTATCAGATTGCTTTCTGCTTTTTGACAGCAAAAGTTGTATTGAACAACCAGGCTGTTTTATTTATCTGTTCTGTATATCCATGCTCTATTGATGCTAACTTACAAGTAAAAAAAAAGCTAAGACTCTCATCATTAAATGATGTAACATACACTTTAGTAAAAGCCAAAGAAAAATGTAAAAAGTCTTAGAACCGACTGATCGTTCTACATATATTTATGCGTAAACAAATTTAAGTACATTGCATTTATTACTTTAAACATTTGTTCAAAAGCCTTTAAGGAATAAATATTAACTTGTGTGATCTTATCTATACATGCAATACATTTATTGACATGAATATACACAGAAGTGCACAAAAAGCTATCACTAAGCTTCATCTTTTTGATTGTTACCGCAATATATTTCATATATATTTCCTCTTCGTCATATATGAGCTGCAGAAATAACTCAGATGAGTCTGTTGGTTTGTTGTTGGAGCACAAAATCTACCAATATTCCACAAAGGGGTCATCACGCAGTCAGGCCACCAGATAAGCACGTAAAAGGTCAACATATGTGGCGCAAGGTTTTATATTTAGAAGTGAGACTAATTAAAATAGTGTGATATAAAAAAAAAAGAAAAAGTGGGTATTTCCCAATGTGGCCACATAAAAGATACCATGGGACACGTAATGTGATGGTATCCATTTTACAGTGGCTTGTTTAAAACACTAGTGAATCTCAAATGTCACTGAAATGTCAGCTTGCTTCAGTAATTCAGCTCAAATCCGACATATATATCAATGCACACAGAGTGATATGATTCATATCTTTGCATGTAGTTTGGTTATTACTTTTCAGTTTGAAAATGATAAATCCCACACCAGCAAATGTCACGGCTCCAAAAGTAATCACTGACTGTGGAAACTGGACTAATCGATAAATGGATAGAGCTCTATATCTTTCCATCGTCTTCAGGGATCTGGGACTTTGAATTCTAGATAAAATGTCAAACGCATTTTCCTCAGAAAACAGGACTTTGTGTCAATCCTTTTTCTCCTCGGCTAGTAAAGATGTTTATGATATTTTTTCCGGTTACAGAGTGGTTTAACACAAGCAACGCAACAGTTATAGCCCATTTTCCTGACTCTTGTAAGACTGATTCAGCAGCCACTCACATCTTGTCAATCTATCAAACCCTGCTAGGGCTTTCACAACCCTCTGAAGGCTCCAGTTATTTCTACTAATTTTGCACCTTGAGACAACACTTTTTCCCTCCACTAAACTTTACGGTAACATATTTGGACATATTGCTCTGTGGACTGGCTTCCTGACAGTGATGACAACATAGCACTTCATTATTGAAAGTCATGATAACCAAAATTAACTGGAATTAATTCTTTTTAAAAAGGAATAATCAATTCATTTCTCTCTTTGAATTGAGTTACTGAAACAAATTATTTGCAAGATGTTCTCATTTATTGAGCTGTAACTGTAATGGGGGAGTTGTTAAAAATGTTTGCCTTATTAAGTATCTAATGTGACATAGAGCACTGAAGGTTTTTAAACCACAAAACCACATTAAATTAGTGTTTTGTTTTTTCCTTCGTAGCACATAATGTACCATCAAGGGACTACCACACAATGAGGGGACCAGCTCAACAAGTGAAAGGTCAAAGCATAAGATTCAAACATATTTATTTAGAAACGAATATGAAGATGAAAACAGAGGGTAATTAAAGGCTGGAATTTCCACTTGAATCATCATAAAAATCTATGTCACGCATAATTTGATGTTACACCTCTGGATATGGTTTGTTAAAACGATGATAAATAGTTTTATAGTGGACCATTTCATCCTGTGGTTTCGGGTCACACCCACATGTGAACCACCGTGTCTCAAGTGTCGTTTGTTTCCAGCTGATCAGCTCGCAAGCCGCCTGGCGCGTCATGGCGCAGCGGTGAAACACCGCCACCTGGCGGGCAGCCGCTGCGGCAGCAGGAGGAAGTGTTTCGGAAGTGAGCGCTCAACGGCAGAGCTGGGATCGAGGGAGAGGGCGGAGAAACGGGAGCAGCCGACTGGATTGTGGAAATGACACTGGCTTTTATCTAGCACCCGAAATTATTTGTGCCAAGCTTTCACGTCATTGCCGAAAAACCAGAGCCCGCTTCCGTTTACGATGAGCCGCAGAAAAAGGCCGTAAGGTAAGCCAGCCCGGTCCGTGATCCCAGCGGAAGCTATCCTGCTAGCGGCTTCTTTTAGCTAACGCAAGAAACGAGCCGCGGCTTTGCTAGGCTGGTGGCTCTGTTCGGGGAGATGTGGAGGGTTTAGTGACCTAATAGGGCGAAAACGTGGGCGTGCGTCTGGTTTAAAGCAGTGTGGGAAGGTGTAGACGGTGTTCATGCCCTGTCAGTGATCTTAACCCCCGGTATTGGGTTTTCTCTGAGGCGTTAAGCAGCAGCATCATGAAAGAGCGATTGTTCAGGACCGCCTGCCTGCGTGGCTAACACGCCACATACTTACGGTGTGGTAAATGTTTACCTGTCAGCAGCCTGACGGGATTACCCGGGGTTTGATAGCCTTAGCTAACATTCAGGTTAACGTGGCAGGTAAATATTATGAGCGAGGCAGCAGTGTAGCCCAGGTTCAACCCATATTTATGAA